TATCAATTGATTCAATAAAAAGAAACAGTGGTTCGAATAGAGAAATGTGACAGAAAGAGACCGTACCATATAAATTTAATTCACCTAACACTTTTCAACAGATTAATCAAATGCACTCTCGATAAGCCCTTAATTTTATTCAATATCCACACATCAATTACTATTTTATTTCCACCGGAAATCTGTCAACTGCACCTTGGCCCACCTGTCCACGCCTTCCACCGACGAAGCTGATACATTGTCGTCTCCAGTCCATCATGCAACTTAATCCGGCCATTAAATGAAAACTATAATTTTAAAGCCATACCAAAGGAAATAATTTGTTTGGGATTATCACGTTTCCTCTAAACAAGACTGTAAACGTCCTGAATCTGTCAACTGTATTCGTCGTTAGTGAGACAGGATGGCTCCTTGTTAGAGAAAATTATTAGGTATCGAGAGGTATTAGAGGAAACCCGGAGTCGTACGTTTAACAATGGGTTTTAGTCTTTAATAGGTGTTATTTTGAACGTATAGGGTACACCTGCTCCGCGCTCGTATTTAGTTTCTCCTCAATTATAGTAAATACCCCGGGGTGCTCAGACCTGCTACAGCGTCTTTTAGTGGGGACGATTAGTTTGCGTAAAAGCATTAGTCCAAATTTACTGTGAGCTGACCCTTCTTGACCATGACAGGAAATCATCACCATCACCATCACCATCATCATCATAATCGTTTGGACCACCACGCCCACCAACAACAACAATAACAAAAGCAACACACACACATTTATATACCTTTTATATAACACTCGTAAAGAACAGTACTTGAAATTGTTCCCATGCTAACTTAGCATAGAGTATGAGACGATGACCAACCTCATGTGCGTGCGTGCGTGCGTGCGTGCGTGCGTGCGTGCGTGTGCGTGTGTGTGTCGGGGGTTGGTGGTGGATTAGTCATGTTTGTTTGATAACCACGCGATTATTTATACCTGTGTGTGGACCGGTAAGAGTTCAAGTGTGAATCAGGCAATTGAGGTGTGCGTGTGTCTTTATGGAGGAGGGCTGATTGTTTTAATGAATTTACGCTCGGGGCTCTGAAAAAGAGACGGTATAAGGGAAGTAACTCGTCCTAACTACTTGGTAGATTTTCCGATTTTCATCCAGTTAAAACAGTTTAAGTATGTAATATAAGATAGCCACATCGCTGCATCGTGTCGAAACACCATATGCCACAGATCAATGCGGATTACAAACAATTTGAAAGAAACGATATTTAATTATTATATCTCTCATTCTCTGTGGCACACTTGTATGAAGTGGGGCTGATTTTGAGACAGAATAACCGATCGTTGTGGGAGTTTGCCAAGTGATCCTAGACACAATAAAACTTTTCTTTAATATGTACATTATTCAAACTTTTACCCTAAATGAAATGGTCAGTTGATGCTTATTTCTTACTTTACAATTTCAGCTGTGTATCGGGTACACTTGAGATGTTATGGATCAAAGCGTTCAGGGTTATTGCACTTTTATAGCGACGTGCATGCACGTGTGTGAGTGTGTGTTGTGTGTGTGAGTGAGTGTGTGTGTGTGTGTATGTGTGTGTGAGTGTGTGTGTGTGAGTGTGTGTGTGTTTGAGAGAGAGAGAGAGAGAGAGAGAGAGAGAGAGAGAGAGAGAGTGTGTGTGTGTGTGTGTGTGTGTGTGTGTGCTTCTACTGATCCGGCTCGCTGACTTGGTTGATGCATGTCATCGATACCAATTGCGTGGATCGATGTTCATCGAGATACCACAGTTTAACATGAATACCCCACTCAGACACAGTATACTGACTCCGAGCCGACCAGTCCTTGTTTTAGCCCCTTTATACCGAACGCCAGGCAGGGTAGCAACAAGTACCATCTCTTAACGTTTTTAGGTATGACGCGACCGGGGCTCGAACAGCGGACGCGGACGCTCTACCACTAGACAACGGTGGCTGTCGCCTCTTGAGAATGAAGACATTTTGTAAAAGTCTTGAGCCAGAGAACCACGGAAAGAGCGGATAAAGGAATGTGTTTATGTACCATGGTCTACGGAGCTTGGTTCGGTATGTGGAAAGTTTAATTTTAAAAAAATACGTCTCTGATATGTCTCTGTAGGTCTCAGTGTAGAGATGTTAGCACTAGACTCTGCGTTTGGCGGCTTAAAAAATATTATGATTTTACTTTTTATGTTTTTAGGTCCGCGGTTCCGTAAGTGAAGTTGTAGAAAATGCATCGCGCTGTACACCGGCATTCAACAACTACCCAAAAGATATAGAGAAATAGCGTGCGTTCAGGATACTGTCGTCAATGTGTCAGTGCGTACAATACACATCATCTACCAAACAGTCGCAACGGCTCCAGTCATACTTATATTTATGGTCATACTTCAATATTAATCTTACCATTTTTTGCAGTTTTGTATGATGTTGTTGTGTTGTTTTTTTGTCCTCGGTAAACCTGATTACAGATGGTATTTTAGCTGCGCTTCAATCAGTATTTTAGGTCACGCAATTAAAATTTCTGTTCGTTTAACGCACTTTGCAATATTGCAGCTATTTAACGGCGGCTGTAAATAATCGAACCTAGACCAGACAAGTGAGCGAGTATGGTTTTACGCCGCTTTTAGCAATATTCCAGCAATATCACGGCGGGGGACAAAAGAAATGGGCTTCACACATTGTACCCATGTCGGGAAGAGAACCCGGGTCTTCGGCGTGACGAGCGAACGCTTTCACAACTAGGCTACCCGACCGCCCCGGACCAGACAAACACACGATTGATCATATATACAACGTCCCACGATATCCCGGTGCAATGGCACGCAACCAACCAACCTGACAACCCAAACATATAGTCGCCTCTTACGACCAGCGACCGCCTCCGTGGTCTTGTGGTAGAGCGTCCGCCCTGAGAGCGGAAGGTCCAGGGTTCGATCCCGGGCCGCGTCATACAAAAAGACGTTAAAAGATTGTGCTTGTTGTTACCCTGTCTGGCGCTCGGCATTAAGGGGCTAAAACAAGGACTGGTCGGCTCGGAGTCAGTATACTGTGTCTGAGTGGGGTATTCATGTTAAACTGCGGCATGGTATCTCAGTGAGCTAGCACTATAAATCGGCATCAGTCCGGACTAGTACAAGCAGCCACACACACACATACACGTGCATGCACGTCGCTATATAAGTGCAATAATCTTGGACGCGACGTTAAACCCAATTTCACCTCACCTCACCTCTTACGACCAGGAAAGGTTGTTGGGGACCAATTCTAACCTAGAATCCCCACGGTCGGCATCACCCCCGCTACAACATAGCGGCTTCTATATAATCGAGTCTGGTACAGTAACGAAGGCTCATGGCTTGAACCATTCATTGACAAGGACAGAGAATCAGTGATTCCCCGTACTTGTTAGTCTCAACCGTGAAGATCCGGGGTAGAATAGGTCTTCAGAAACCCATGCTTGCCCTAAAAGGCAACTATGCTTGTCGTAAGAGGCGACTAACGGAATCGGGGGGTCAGGCTCGCTGACTTGCATCGATCCAAATTGCGTGGATAGATGTTCATGATATTAATCACTGGATTGTCTGGTCCAGACTCGATTATTTACAGACCGCCGTCATATAGCTGAAATATAGCTGAGTGCGGCGTTAAACAACAAACAAACAGCAACAAAAAACGTCCCTTCAAAAACGAATTTATAACTAATAATGTATCCTGTGTTTAATTTCTGTCGAAACACATGTCGTTCTTTTTACCAAGTGATGTACACATAAATTTATGCCGAAACCGATATGGATTATAATGACTCGTTCTCTGTGACTAATCCAGATAACACTCATATGCATCCTGTCGTCGTCTTCATATCCCAAATCCTCAACTTGTGCAATACCTGCGATTTTATATTTTCAATCCCCCGATTTTGCACACCAAATAAGTCTAGATTGCCTCAGCTCTTGGTAAAAGGTTCTGACGTCCATTTGAATGTCTTTGTTTTGTTTCGTAAATATCTTTTATTGAATAAGATAACTTTATTTCTGGGACTGAATGTGGGTCTTGAGATGTTGACAAATCGCAATGCATTTTAGAATCCCCTTTCCATGTACAAGAATGCCAGCTATAGATATTCTACGTCCGCTTCGTGTGTTTGAAACATGACATTGTTGATAAATGTTGTTTACAATTAATCTTTCAGCTTTATTAGTAAGAACAAAATACTCCCACTTAGGTTTTTATGAGAAATAAAACCATGAAAAGAAAGTGCCTTATCCAACATATAGTAAATGGTTTCCAGGAATTATTGCTACCTTGCTACTTCGCTTTATGTGACCTGTCCCAGTGTTTGAGTGAGTTGGGTTAAACGCCGCCTTCAACAATATTTCATTTATATCGCGGCGTGTCAGCTTAATAAGGGAGGAAAGCACGAATTGATGCAGGTCTCAGACGTTTACCACTTCGGTGAAACCCACGAGCACGGGTACGGTGCTGACAAACCTAGGAACATAATCAGAGCGAACCGGGATTCGAACCCACAATCATATGTTTCTGGTGTGCCCAAGGGACGCAACTCTGCACAGCGAATCGCGGCGCCTTAGACGACTGGTCAACCCGTGCACCCTCCTAGTCTTTGAGACAATCCCAAGGAATACACATACTATACTACTTCAAAGAAGTTATGGAACACCCGACAGATTATTGATAGTACTATGAAAAAATCGGGTGTTCCTTAACATATTTGGCAATGACAAACTAACAAAAGCAATATGAAAGAATCTGAGGTTCTTTAGTTTCTTAAGAGCAGTATATGTAGGAGCTTTTCCTCGTGTATTTTGGCTTGGTCACTAATAACATACTGCAATCAAAATGGATTGGACCTGGACCTTTTCCCAGGGTATATTTAACTGCGAGTTCTGACCTGAGGTCTGACGTATGTATGACTGATGGGTTGAGATTATGCACACAGTAATATGACACAGCGCAAGGACATACAGGAACAAGTCTATGACTATGAAAACAGTTTATTCGAATAGCACAAGTTGACAAGCATCACACATAGTTCAAAACAATTCATTTTTGTTTGCGTCACTGATAAACTATCCATATTCTGGCAATAGTAAAATATATGAGTGAGTTAGTTAGTGAGTATGGTTTTACGCCGCTTTTAACAATATTCCAGCAATATCACGGCGGGGTACATGGGTTGAGAATATGCACACAGTAATATGACACAGCGCAAGGACATGCAGGAACAAGTCTATGACTATAAAAACAGTTTATTCGAATGGCACAAGTTGACAAGCATCACACATAGTTCAAAACAATTCATTTTTGTTTGTGTCACTGATGAACTATCCATATTCTGGCAAAAGTAAAATATATGAGTGAGTAAGTGAGTGAGTATGGTTTTACGCCGCTTTTAACAATATTCCAGCAATATCATGGCGTGGGTCATCTGAAATAGGCTTCACACATTGGTAAAATATATAGTAATTTGGCAAATATACTTATTTTGAAAATCATTATGTTTGTATTTTTTCTCAAGAAATGCTCTTTTCGGACTTTAAACTTAATTGACAAAGAACACTGAGGCCATGCATATAGGTATACTTACATAGGTCATTTAAACGTTCCTTGAGAACAGTTTTCATTTAGATCCAATACTTTACAATTGGCCGGTAAACAGTTCAGCTTGACGGAAGTGTTTTGGGGAAGAAACAAGTTTGTGGTTTGCCGCCCAGGTACAGCGAACCCCCTTTAATCCAGACTGTATCGTACTCAATGTGATCGGTCGGATTTACAAATCATTGATGATTAGTTATAATCTTTACAATATATCGTCATTCTTTCAGGCCCGGGATACGCGGTTTCTGGATTAGGTGGGTTCGGATTAACGAGGTTTCAATGTATATGTAAGCGGTAGAGACGTAAGTAAAACACGTCCTCATTGTTAATGCATATTTTGTTTTCGCGGTCCCTAAAAAAAGATCAGCAAGATCGATACGACTTCGTTATCGTTATGTGCATAATCCCAAGTGATATTATGATTCACACGTTCAAGGTCATATGGTGTATGCACTTCTATTGACAGAAAAATAAATGCTAAACAACAAGTTTCAATGATTTTGTGAATTAATATATACCACAAATGTGAACGAGCCACATTCATGCGAAAATGGCTGCCCTTTGCAAATAATGTCATGATATAACGGCTAAAATGAATGCAAATCTTTTTACATGAGTTGTTATAACAACGAGGGTTATTATTCAATGGTAGATCCAGACGCATGCGCCCTTGGTACCCCCCTTTTCAAAATCTTGGATCCGCCTCTGAATAGTTACATGATCTCCAGGACTCGATACAGGTACGACTAAAGACACGTGCAGTAAACTACGGTTATAACGAACACGCTTATAACGAACTGACGGATATAACGAACTTACTTTTTTGGTCCAGACTATTTTCTGTAGTTATGCTGTATATATGCTTATAACGAACTACGGTTAAAACGAACTAAAGTTAGTAGTCCCTTTGAGTTCGTTATAACCGTACTTTACTGTACATCCATTCTTCAGATACACAATCATCATCGATCATGGAAAATAATATGTAATCCTATCTTCCCTAATACTGTTGATAGGATAAAAGGAGTAACTACCGAATGAGCACACTCAATTTGAAGAAACATCACAGACAGAGCTGCTAGTGTACAATGTCCTGTCTTACACTTATTACATAGGGCATTGTCTCCTAGCACACCGGTAGAATAACTCGTGGTTTGCCCTCTCACCACCGTTGTGTCCAAATAGCACTAAGAACTCTTATAATACTGCGTGGTCTAGCGTGTTTGTTTTCCATTGTTGACGTCACTTCCTAATATGCCGTGGTCCTAGTCCTCATGACGCAGTCGCAGCACGTGTCTCGCTTCTCTCCGTCGTCGAGGCCGCATCCACACATCCCACCAGAACGACTTACTGACCTCTGTAAAGATACGGCAAATTGAACCCGGTATCTGTACTATTGTGTCGTAAATATTCGAATGGCATGTTCCTGACAAACCAGTGGTTAATATTATGAGCAACGTCCCATGCCGTCGGAAACAACCAAGTCACAACGTACATCCTATAATATTTTGAAAACTTTGTTTACGTCATGTTAATATAAATAACCACGTCACTGTTTACACCTTACTTTTCTTGCAGTCAATCTCATTTTCCTCCATCATGTATTCTTCCGGACATGCGCAGACTCTCTTGCCATCGGGTCGAGGAAAGCACATGAAAGTACATCCGCCATTGTTCTTCGAACATCCGTTAGTTACTGGAAACGATAAACACAACCAGCCTTGTTGAAATGAGTGAGCAGAGAGTGAGTGAGTTTGGTTTTACGCCGCTTTTAGCAATATTCCAGCAATATCACGGCGGTGGACACCAGAAATGGGCTTCACACATTGTACCCATGTCGGGAATCGAACCCGGATCTTCGGCGTGACGAGCGAACGCTTTAACCACTAGGCTACCCGACTGCCCCTTGTTGAAATGAAACATTAACCCTGCAGTACCAAGAAACTATGGTGCATTGACAAGGTCCATCCTTCGAGTAAAGGATTGAATACTTGCCCCCTCAGGTTAAGCGGAGTGTAGGAGTGTTTCTAAATAGGGAGCTGTAGCAAAGTTATGTAGTCATCCTAGATTTCACTATCTCTAAGATTAAGTTGGTTTCTTTGTTGTTTAACGCCGCTCTCAGCAATATTAAAGCTATTTGACGTCGGTCTGTAAATAATCGAATCTGGACCAAACAATCCAGTGTTTGACATCATGAGCATCGATCCACACAATTGGGATACGATGACATGCATCAAACAAGTCAGCGAGCCTGACCACCCGATCCCGTTAGATTGATTACTCCATATCAACTTCGTCTAAGCTCGTGACATTCTTATATTTAATTTGCTGAGCTTACGTTTGAATAATAACGGAACAATTACCCAATTTGTAATCACTCTTCCGGTGTGCGTGGAGATCCGAGAGATAGCGGAAGGGAGGTAACTCGGTCTCACCCCTGCCTGAACCGTCAGTGTTGACTCTGATCACAGAGCTGCAGGCAGAGAGTATGATCATATACATGTGTTTGATATGCTGGTAACCAAACACACACAGCTAAGAAAATGTACTGGAGAATAATTTACATTGAAACCAACATGTATTAGTATTAATCGGGGTGACTTGAGGGAGTTTGGGCAGTAAAGGAGGATGAAAAGTGAGTGAGTGAGTTAGTGAATGAGTGAGTAAGTGAGGCTTTACTCTGCTTAGTACTGTGATAATTGGTATTATTCCATCCAGCTCAGGGAGAGAACCCTGAATGGGCTGATCACATTGGACACATCTCGATCCTGGGTCTACTGTGTGACGTTTTAACCACTGGCGCTTCCCTGCATCCCCTAACATTGTGCAGATGGGTCCTTGTTTTATGCATCAACCAGTGAGATCTACCCCCCTGCGTTTGAGGTCAAAATATTGAAGTACAGGATATTGTTGAATCAACACCCTGTGTCGTATCTGAAACTTTTTATATTACTAAAAAGTCATTAATAAGTGACTGCCATGAAGATTTCCAAAGTACCACCGAAAATATTTTATCACTCCGAATCTTTTCATTTCCAATATATTCTTTTGAATATAAAACGAAAACAGATATCATTCAAGAGAGAGGTAGTAGTGTTGGTTAAATTAAAGCCGACAACCCCCTTCTCGTCACAGACAGCGGGACGGGCCTCCAATAAGAGCCTGTCTGTTGTACAGGACATATCACAAAGTAAACTTACATCAATAAAGCAGCCGGCTCACATGTGAGGAAACACAGTACCTTGAATTGGGCTTGATGGCTGAGTAGAAGAGGTAGTCTTGGAACACGGTGATGGCGGAGAGGTGGTGGGTCGTCGTGAGGAGGGTGGCCATGTTGCCTCCATCCACGTCCATCACTTTCACAGTCTTGGACCCGGCGTCGCCCCAGTACAATCTTCCGGCTGAACGTGAAAGTACAGGAGCATATAGTCCCAGAAACATTAAGTTATGTATAATCCAGAAATATTTCTCTAACGGAACCCTCAAATCTCTTAATTTCAAAGCGATGAAAAGAGGATGAGAATAGGCTGCTGAAGCCGAGGGAACGAGAACGGAATGGGCGCGTTTGTATCATAAAGTATATGTCCTTGAGTCTGGAAGAGACAAGGAAATTCTGTTGAGGTCGTCCTACTTGTTCTTGCTTTACCTAAACCACCGCATTTCTTTACAGTTATTGTATACTTGTCTGAATGCCCAGACAGCAAGAGTATTAAACTCCACATGTCGGACCAGTGCTTCTTGGGACGTTTATCAATCTACAAACTTTAAGGCACATTAGCCGTGATTGCTTTACACGAATTTTAATTATATTCATGAAATTACTACCACGCCGCCGTGTTTCAACAGTCAAAGTATATCATACATATCGGACGATCGTACAAGGTTTAAAAGAAACATCGTTGCTTTTTTAAAAAATACAACAGCTTAAACCTTCTCTGTCCAGGGACAGTCCCTCTGGCCACACGGACTTGACCAGCACCCGTCGGTCAGATCCGTCGTAGTTGGCTCGCTCTATCTTGTTGTCCTTTCCCCAGTCTATCCAGTACATCACTCTGTTAAAAGTGTAAATAAGATGTCATTATGTTAATCTTGTCATACATTGTGATGCGAACATTCCCGCTATGTCACAAGTCACAAGAAGGTGTGACAACTGCTTTTACTTTGGACACAATTTCTTGGAATAACGTGTGATTGACCCCGACGAAGAGGATTGTTGTTCACGATATCAATCTCTAGGTGGCCTGATCCAGACTCAAATATTTACAGGCCGTCATATAGCTGGAATATTACCGAGAGTTGAGTTAAACAACAACAAAAATATGTTGGACACATTCTGGATACCCCGAACGTCTGTGTTGTAATAAAAATATAACTTTGTCCACTTCTCGTTTCAGAGAACATAATTGTAGGTCTTGACGCAGCGCCCGACATAATAAACTGTCTCCGACAAACACGCCTCCAAGTGGTCGGTCCTCATGAGATTGCAATAATAATTTTTTCAGATGTTTAATTTCTTCTGCTGGTCTACCTTATCAAACTGTTAATATTACACCTCACCAGCACTGGTGAAACACATATACAATATATTCATATCTGTTCTGATCCGTGAAGACCCGGTTCAGAATTCGCTTTCAGCCACTCCTGTTTGTAAGAGGCGACTAGCGGAATCGAGTGGTCAGGCTCGCTGACTTGGTTGTTGCATGTCATCGTATCCCAATTGCGTGGACCGATGCTCATGATATCCATCACTGGAAGTCGCAGGTCCAGACTCGATTATTTACAGACCGCTGTCATACAGCTTGAATAGTGCAGCATTAAACAAACAAACAAACACACATATCTGTTCCGAAAGAAAATCCTTCTAGAGGAAACCAAGCGTTGTCTTCCCTTACCAACAGAGTATTCTCCCCTTGACAGCTTAGTGGTTTCTCATCTGTGGCTACAAAGCTGCTTTTAGAGATTATGTGGTCTGCGTATTTATTTATCATAGGATGGGTGGTAGAAATAAAATAAATTGATTCAAAAATAGCTTAAAACCACTCTTTTAATTAAACATCCATTTAAAGGAAAAATAACTTATATATATATATATATATATACATATATATATATATATATATGTATATATATATATATATATATATATTATATGTTTTGGGGGGGGATGTGGGGAAGGGTCAAAGGTCTACGTATGCACGTACTGCACTGAACTAATTTTCAGATTCAAAAGAGAAATTGAGACGCCAGTTGAATAATTAAACAGGTGGCTCTGTAAACAAAGAAATTAGATTCCCCATCAGACTTCCTTTCAACGTTACACGTACCATTGTCTGGTCATCTGCAGACAGACAACGAAGTGTAAAGTCATGAAGATATTAACCTACCCGTTGACAGGATCCACCTCTATGTGTCGAGGCATGTGGGTATTTTCCTGTATGATGATTTTATGATGTTTGGTTGCTATGGTTACCACTCCGATAACGTCATTGCCCCTGTCGGTGTAGAATATGAGTCCCGATACGGGATCTATCGCCAAGCCGTCAACAGTCGCAGCTGAAACAAAAGCAGAAAGTTAAAACTGACGAGTTCAGATCTTGAGAACGTAGTCCCGAGTAGCTGGCCTCGTTATATCCTTCAATTACATGTAGCCAGCTATTTTATTTAGCATAATACATTTATTTGAATTTAAAAATCCAATGTATCTGTAGAACGGTGCCAATGTTGGATCATTCGGCGTCGTTGTCCTCTTCAATGATTAGTGTCAGTGTCTGCATGTAAAATGCTGTTTAACGCTGTTTTAAACAGAATGTCCCTCAGACTAAGAAGTGACAGCTTGATGAAAGCCTGATGTGATGCCAGTCGATGCGTTAACCATTTTGGCAAGAATATGGTGCTGACATCCATGGTAACTAACGAGGGTGTAACTGGGGTTAGAATCAACTATCCTAAATCCTTAGCACACCTAAGGAACGCAACCCAGCACAGCGAATTGTGGTGCCCCGGACAACTGGGCCGACCGTGTCACCTGAAGTTGGCGATCCCCTGAGGTTCGTTCTTTTGTTATGACGTCCTTTAATTTTTAATTTTTTATATCTTCACAAAAGAGAATGGCTGACGGATTTAAATAACTTGTATACCCTTCTGTGAATATCAACGACTTGATGCCAGGTTCATGTACCCACCCCAGTTGAGCTTGATGTACGTCTTGCTGTGCGTGGGCCCAACACTGTGTATTGCAGGTCTGTTTTTGTCAGCATAGAAGATGTGGTTCGTGACCGGGTCGTATCCAGATGACCCCAGTCTCACGTTGTCCGGCAGAGCCACAGCCTTGGGTGTGAAGTCGGACATGTTGACTGACCAGATGTGTCCAGTGATGGGGTCAGTGAGAAGCATGAAGGCATCAGCAGGGGGAGCTGCAATTGTAAGATGTGATATGATGTGACCAGTGATGGGGCTAGTGATGTGGCCAGTGATGAGGTCAGTGATGGGGCTAGTGATGTGACCAGTGATGAGGTCAGTGATGTGACCAGTCATGGGGTCAGTGATGCGACCAGTGATGAGGCCAGTGATGGGGCTAGTGATGTGACCAGTGATCAGGTCAGTGATGTGACCAAGCATGGGGTCAGTGATGATGGGGGTGGCATCACGTACCCTTATGTATTGTGATCGAACAACTAATACATGCGAGTTACTCTTTAAAACCTTCCTGACATCCTCTATATCTCCAGGGCTCACATGTCGTGAGTGGATCTAGAGGTCAGTGAAGGTTCACCGACATGACTTTCTGGCTGATCTTTGTCCATGAAAACGACAAGCCGTTTAACTGAGATGTGGCCTCTGTAACTGACTATTTGAGATTTAAAGAATGCTTCCGGTTAATTAAAATTTCACAAAGTTTAACCACAGCGTTACCTAGGCATTCCGACTTGAAGCTCGACCCCATGTATTTCGTGTTGTAAGCAGCTCGGCACATGTCGCATTCAAACTTCCCCGAGTCCTCCTGGTACCATCCTCGCACACACTGGGTGCACGTGTCGTTGTCGAACATTGTGCCCGGGGCGCAAGTACCTGAAATATACAACATATATACCACACATATGCATGGGCATGGTCACACGGTCACTGAGCGTGATGCACCTGAAATATGCAACGTACAATGAACGGGTCCCTCCAATAGGAAGCAGTGAGTGAAAGAGTGAGTGAGTGAGTTGGGTTTACCGCCGCTTGTAACAGTATTCCAGTTATATCACGGCGTGTCAGCTTAATGTGGGAGGAAAGCCCGAAGTGATGCAGGTCTCAGACGTTTACCACTTCAGTGAAACCCACGAGCACAGGTATGGTGCTGACAAACCTAGAAACATAATCGGGGCGAACCGTGATTCGAACCCACAATCATAGGTTTCTGGCGTGCCCAAGGGACGCAACTCTGCACAGCGAATCGCGGCGCCTTAGACGACTGGGCCTCCCGTGACCCCCAGTAGGAAGCAAGACATACTACGGGTTATGTTTAGTTTGTCCTTTAACGCCACCCTTTACAAAACTTCAGCTATATGATGGCGGCCTGTAAATAATTGAGAACCATTCAACCCAGTGACTGATGTTATGAGCAACGATTCACGCTGTCGGGATACGGTGACATGCAATCAATCAAGTCACGGATGCTGACCACCCAATCCACTGAGTCGCTGCATAGGTTGGTGGGACCTATTCTTACCCGGGGACCTTTGGTCGTGTTATCTTTCATACACCACACTTGTGGCACATGCAGCTAAAATATATACCAGGGATGAGAAATGAATAATTTTAGCCCCTTGGACAGATGCATAGTGTCACCCAAAACCATCTTTAAAAAGAAACGAAGACTACTTTTAAAAAACTCATTTCCTAACTGATCTCCCTTGTCCTTCCTACTATCATCAGCGTCAAATGGAGTAGATTGCATGCTTCGTTATACAGATGAATGCCATATTATTATACCTGGTTTCTGGTTGCAAAATATACAGTTGAGAAGAACTGTAAAAAGGATTCAGGAGGATTCAGGAGAAGAGTCTTCATGTCTTGCTAAGAAGCGAAACACTGATAACTCACTTCAAACTACCATGCCACAATGTTGCAACTCACTGCAATAGCCTTGATCTGGAACTGATCCCACAGGACAAGTCAGGTCACTGTCCACGACAGAGGTTCCAGGTTTCACTTGACCATCGGTCAGCTGAACCAGGAAACAGTCGTCGTAGATCTCTCCCAGTTCATTAAAGGTATTGTTCAAGGTGGACCAAGCCGCGGCCTGGTTGTTCTTGGATATTAAAGCTGAAAGAAGAAACGTTGCCATTCATGGTATTACAATTTACATTCTTAAAGTGCAAGTATCGTGGAAAATAGTGATAGATTTGTCTTACATCATCATGTAGCCTGCAACGGGAAATTGTGATTTGGAGAAACTAAACTAAACAAACGAACGAATCTGTGTTTTGCAGTCACTTGTAATACACGCGTCAGGATGAGGATGATCCTGATTATTTTCGTCGCTAATGTCGATCACAGGTTCAGACATGTAGGGGTTCACATGTATTCCTTCAGAAATCACCAAGTCATCTTCCGAGAAACATTCACATTCCATGACAACTCGTAAACTAGTGTCACTGTCAGAGTCGAACATATCGGAAGTTATGATCGATTTGCGCTCACGATATCCCAAAGGGGAACGAGGTAAGTACTATGCTTCATCATTTCACCCACAGATCATTCAATAGTTTAAACAAAGAAACATCTTTCAATAAAATAAATGAGATGAGTACCGTAACACGAACAAAAAACGCAATTGAAAATATAGCGTGTTTTGCGTTTCGTTTTGACACCGAATATTGACCTCAATTTGTGATATAAATGGCCTTAGCACATTTCCGTTGTTGAAAGAAAGAGGAGTATATTTCAATCCTTTAAATTTACTCATTCGAAGGGAAGTATAGCGTACAAATGGTCATTGTCAATTGTGAAAAGGGGAATGTTTAAGGGTTAAAAAGGGTGAAGGATAGGTTAGCTTTGCCGAGAACATGTGCAGCCTGTTAGGGTCGAACGGAGGCTTGCCTGTTAGGGTGCGAAGGAGGGACGGGCTTTTGCGATCAAGTCTGTAATTTTGGAGGGGATTTCCTCTACATAAAGGCTCGGCCTCCGCTGTATTTTCGTTTCTGCCTTTGAAATTGACAGACAGAACAAAAGTGCAAATAAACCTTATTTACACGCCGCGTTCGATGTTTTGAATACGATACTTGCATTAACGATGTCACATCTATCCAAATCTACAAAGACTTGCACTATAAGATTAGAATATTTTAGTTGGGGTGCTTGTTCTTCCTTCGAAATTCAATTGGTTTTTGTTAATGTGGAATTGGATGGGCTCCAGTGCAACTACACGTGAGTCGGGGATAATGATTAAATTAGGAGATAAACATATCGTATTTCAATTTTGAGCTAGGCTATCTATAGATGTAACCGCACTAAACTTACTTTGGATTCCATCTTGTTTTCTGCCTAAAATGTATTGCCACATATGCTTTGAAAATTGTACTACCGCATCTCTGCATTTTGTAAGTTAAACTATACATCTCATTATTCCCAAATACCCAGCCACAAGCAAGCAAGAACTACATCAGATTCCGCGACATCTTTCAAAGGCAAGGGAGTTAACTGACTACAAAAGTCCAGTGGAACCTTTTGTGGTTTGAAACAACTTACTGAGTAATCCGAATTCAGTATTTTCCAAATTCTTGGTAGAATCAGAATTATCTGTTATTTTTTTCTCGGAATTCTTGATTAGGCTAGTTCGTTACGACATGCTGTATACATGCATTTTTTTATATGTGGTATCTCACGGAAATGAATAATTATTCAACTGACATGATATATACATATATGCATTGTATGATTATAAAAACGAATATGGCAGCTTGTGTAATACTACAACATGCGTGACTCACCGCTCCAGTTACTGGCGACGACGTCGACGGTGAATTTAGTTGTGGCAATGTATCCTTCTGGAATATTCGCACATCCTCCGGCTTCACGGTGACATGTCTCCATGGTAACAGCATACTGGCAAGCCTCTTTCTGGACACAGGAAGTCTGGGACGCACAGTCAGACACCTTGTTTTGGATCGCGTCGAGATCGGCAGCCATGTTGAGGCCGACCCGTGTCTTGTAGGGAACGGCGTAGTCTAACGCCACGTTGTCTGGGATCTGGAAGTCTAAATACATACCCGTCTACTTCACTGCCTGGAGTGGACATGAATACCGAGAAACTGACGTACATACTTACACATTCTGAATTGAATTGCCTGTACCTTCATTGTAGATAATCTCAAAAGGGGGATGTTTTCGCGTTTAATGGGGATATAGAAGTTTATCGTTCGTTCGTATGTTTGTTTGTTGATTAACGCCGCATTCAGCAATATCAAAGCTATATGAATAATCGAGTCTGGACCAGACAATCCAGTGATTGACATCATGAGCATCGATCTACACAATTGGGATACGATGACATGCATCAACCAAGTCAGCGAGCCCGATCCCGGTAGTCGCCTTTTACGGCAAGCATTGGTTGCTGAACGAGTTGGATGCAGAAGAATTGGGGTGGGATAGATAACTAAATAAGTTAGGGGTCGATCGAAGGTTTACTTTCATTGTCAGCTTCCCTTTCCTGTATGAGAGACGTACAACGAGTCACACAGCAACATCACATTTATTAACACAACACTTTCTGTACCTCAGCGGATTACGAAATCTCTTTGTTGGTGGTTCTTCACGTTACCACCTGTGCTACAGAGACTGTTGTCGTCATAGGTGTCAAGTTTCCAACTCACCATTAACCTAGCCTGGTATATTTGTCCATGATTATGTTGATATTGTACCAGTGAGTGAGTGAGTGAGTTTGGTTTTACGCCGCTTTTAGCAATATTCCAGCAATATCACGGCGGGGGACACCAGCAATGGGCTTCACACATTGTACCTATTTCGAGATTCGAACCCGGGTCTTCGGCGTGACGAGCGAACGCTTTAACCACTAGGCTACACGACCGCCCCTGATATTGTACCAAGTTCGTTGTAAGTCCTGGTGGCATTAGTGTTATGCAAGTGCCTGAGTTGCAGATCTAATTTCAATATACATCTTATCGATATTTGACTTATTGCCTAATGATACGCACTTTATTTAAACATATTTAATTTCTAATCATGTTTAAACGTGTTTAAATTCTAAAGTATTTAACTTCTGAACAATGTTTAAACGTGTTTATATTTTAAACATGTTTAAGCTATAAACATGCTTAAATTCAAAACACTTTTCAACATTTGGAACCTACCCACGCAAGAAATGGTTTTCCTCCCTGGTACCCATAATTCCTCTTGGCAAGTATAAGATGGCGGCTCTTCCTGGAACACCAGACCCTGGTCACATGACACGGAGCAGTTCATGAATCCTTTATCTTCAGACACGTTGCTGCAGGTCACGCTGACGCCATTACTGACTGTTAGCTGCGACTGCTTGCATTCTGTGGAATGAATGAATGAATGAATGAATGAATGAATGAATGAATGAATAAATATAGTCCAAATATATCACAGCGGCCTGGAAATGTTCGAGTCTGGACCATGCAAACCAGTGTTTGACAGTCCGAAACAGTGGTCCACGTCATTTGGGTTACACACATTCAGACCACCTGATACTTATGCGCGTGGGCTTTGACAAGTATAGGTTGACCTCAGTGAAGATTCTTTGTCATTTTCGAAATTCTATTCGAGTATCTAAGTTTATTCGTTCTTAATATGCTAGTGGGTAAAACACAGAATAGCCCACTCGAACATCGATTTGATTAAACTCGACTATCTGTCCGCGTCCAAGAAATTCCTTCACCAAACACTCATACTTTAGTAACCCGGGACAGGAGTCATCCGTAATTTTGTGTTTCGAAAGTTTTTCTCTTGTAAACGATTCCGATATTTGGCACACATTAAGGAGGATATATAATCCGCTAACAGAATGTGACAATAAGGTTAAATGTATATGCTCGTAGACATCTCAAAGGGTGATTACAGGAGTACACTGACGCGTGTGAACTGCAGTGGATAGATGACAAATGTATTATTTCAAAGTCGGAAATAGCATGTTACCTGGGCATGCGTTGATGTTGCAGACAGATTTCTCAACGGATGATCCGCGACATGGTTTTCCTAGACCAGGCTCTGGTGCCGGATCGTCACATTTCCTTGACCTTGATCTTTCACCTCCGTCACAGGTCACAGAGCAGGATGACCATGAAGACCAATCGCCCCAGTTACCATGAACTGAAACACAACAAAGAGCTGGCGTCATTCAATGTGACGGTTCTTCGGTTCTTCATATGTGTCTACAGATAGAATAGAATATTTGTACAGTATCGCCCCTTGTAGTCTTACCTAGTTATGTCTCACAGTACCGCCCCTTGTAGTCTTACCTATTGGAGTCTCACAGTACCGCCCCTTGTAGTCTTACCTATTGGTGCCTCACAGTACCGCCCCCTGTAGTCTTACCTATTGGAGTCTCACAGTACCGCCCCTTGTAGTCTTACCTATTGGAGTCTCACAGTACCGCCCCTTGTAGTCTTACCTATTGGAGTCTCACAGGACCACCCCTTGTAGTCTTACCTATTGGTGCCTCACAGTACCGCCCCTTGTAGTCTTACCTATTGGTGCCTCACAAGACCACCCCTTGTAGTCTTACCTAGTTATGTCTCACAGTACCGCCCCTTGTAGTCTTACCTATTGGAGTCTCACAAGACCACCCCTTGTAGTCTTACCTAGTTATGTCTCACAGTACCGTCCCTTGTAGTCTTACCTATTGGAGTCTCACAGGACCACCCCTTGTAGTTTCTGTCCTAGTTATGTCTCACAGTACCGTCCCTTGTAGTCTTACCTATTGGAGTCTCACAGTACCGTCCCTTGTAGTCTTACCTATTGGTGCCTCACAGTACCGTCCCTTGTAGTCTTACCTATTGGTGCCTCACAGGACTACCCCTTGTAGTCTTACCTATTGGTGCCTCACAAGACCACCCCTTGTAGTCTTACCTAGTTATGTCTCACAGTACCGCCCCTTGTAGTCTTACCTATTGGAGTCTCACAAGACCACCCCTTGTAGTCTTACCTATTGGTGCCTCACAGGACTACCCCTTGTAGTCTTACCTATTGGAGCCTCACAGTACCGCCCCTTGTAGTCTTACCTATTGGAGTCTCACAGTACCGTCCCTTGTAGTCTTACCTATTGGTGCCTCACAGGACTACCCCTTGTAGTCTTACCTATTGGTGCCTCACAAGACCACCCCTTGTAGTCTTACCTAGTTATGTCTCACAGTACCGCCCCTTGTAGTCTTACCTATTGGAGTCTCACAAGACCACCCCTTGTAGTCTTACCTAGTTATGTCTCACAGTACCGTCCCTTGTAGTCTTACCTATTGGAGTCTCACAAGACCACCCCTTGTAGTCTTACCTAGTTATGTCTCACAGTACCGTCCCTTGTAGTCTTACCTATTGGAGTCTCACAGGACCACCCCTTGTAGTCTTACCTAGTTATGTCTCACAGTACCGTCCCTTGTAGTCTTACCTATTGGAGTCTCACAAGACCACCCCTTGTAGTCTTACCTAGTTATGTCTCACAGTACCGTCCCTTGTAGTCTTACCTATTGGAGTCTCACATGACCACCCCTTGTAGTTTCTGTCCTAGTTATGTCTCACAGTACCGTCCCTTGTAGTCTTACCTATTGGAGTCTCACAGTACCGTCCCCTTGTAGTCTTACCTATTGGAGTCTCACAGTACCGTCCCCTTGTAGTCTTACCTATTGGAGTCTCACAGTACCACCCCTTGTAGTCTTACCTATTGGAGTCTCACAAGACCACCCCTTGTAGTCTTACCTATTGGTGCCTCACAAGATCACCCCTTGTAGTCTTACCTAGTTATGTCTCACAGTACCGTCCCTTGTAGTCTTACCTATTGGAGTCTCACAGGACCACCCCTTGTAGTCTTACCTAGTTATGTCTCACAGTACCGTCCCTTGTAGTCTTACCTATTGGTGCCTCACAGCAACACCCTTTGTAGTCTTACCTATTGGAGTCTCACAAGACCACCCCTTGTAGTCTTACCTATTGGTGCCTCACAAGATCACCCCTTGTAGTCTTACCTAGTTATGTCTCACAGTACCGTCCCTTGTAGTCTTACCTATTGGAGTCTCACAGGACCACCCCTTGTAGTCTTACCTAGTTATGTCTCACAGTACCGTCCCTTGTAGTCTTACCTATTGGAGTCTCACAAGACCACCCCTTGTAGTCTTACCTAGTTATGTCTCACAGTACCGTCCCTTGTAGTCTTACCTATTGGAGTCTCACATGACCACCCCTTGTAGTTTCTGTCCTAGTTATGTCTCACAGTACCGTCCCTTGTAGTCTTACCTATTGGAGTCTCACAGTACCGTCCCCTTGTAGTCTTACCTATTGGAGTCTCACAGTACCGTCCCCTTGTAGTCTTACCTATTGGAGTCTCACAGTACCACCCCTTGTAGTCTTACCTATTGGAGTCTCACAAGACCACCCCTTGTAGTCTTACCTATTGGTGCCTCACAAGATCACCCCTTGTAGTCTTACCTAGTTATGTCTCACAGTACCGTCCCTTGTAGTCTTACCTATTGGAGTCTCACAGGACCACCCCTTGTAGTCTTACCTAGTTATGTCTCACAGTACCGTCCCTTGTAGTCTTACCTATTGGTGCCTCACAGCAACACCCTTTGTAGTCTTACCTATTGGAGTCTCACAGGACCACCCCTTGTAGTCTCACCTATTGGTGCCTCACAGTATTGCCCCTTGTAGTCTTATCTAGTTATGTCTCACAGTACCGCCCCTTGTAGTCTTACCTATTGGAGTCTCACAGTACCGTCCCTTGTAGTCTAACCTATTGGTGCCTCACAGGACCACCCCTCATAGTCTTACATATTGGTGCCTCACAGTACCGTCCCTTGTAGTCTTACCTATTGGTGCCTCACAGGACCACCCCTTGTAGTCTTACCTATTGGTGCCTCACAGGACCACCCCTCATAGTCTTACCTATTGGTGCCTCACAGTACCGTCCCTTGTAGACTTACCTATTGGTGCCTCACAGTACCGCCCCTTGTAGTCTTACCTATTGGTGCCTCACAGGACCACCCCTCATAGTCTTACCTATTGGTGCCTCACAGTACCGCCCCTTGTAGTCCTTCCTATTGGTGCCTCACAGGACCACCCCTTGTAGTCTTACCTATTGGTGCCTCACAGGACCACCCCTCATAGTCTTACCTATTGGTGCCTCACAGTACCGTCCCTTGTAGACTTACCTATTGGTGCCTCACAGTACCGCCCCTTGTAGTCTTACCTATTGGTGCCTCACAGGACCACCCCTCATAGTCTTACCTATTGGTGCCTCATAGTACCGCCCCTTGTAGTCTTTCCTATTGGTGCCTCACAGTACCGCCCCCTGTAGTCGTACCTATTGGAGTCTCACAGCAACACCCTTTGTAGTCTTACCTATTGGAGTCTCACAGTACCGTCCCTTGTAATCATCAATGCAGGTACAGTTCACGCCTCCCTCAATATTCTGACACAGGGCGTCATTCTGGCACTCGTTGGCAACGATACAGTAGTCCGGAGGTATTTCGCACGTCGGACCAGAGTAGTCTCCCTTGCATGTACACTCTGCGCCATATTTGAATGATCGACATCTATGTCCGTTACATGGATCAGGTTCACAACGATCGATCTCTGTAATAATTGAAAAAGTTATGATTGTACATTAATTTGTGTTGTGTTGTTTGATTGACTGCGAAATTCAATATATATTTTGATAAACACAATTTGACACAAACCTCACGTAAGAAAGGAGCAAATAACACTGTCTCAAAATATTAAACATTATTTCCATTATAAGACCCGTTTTGTATCCTGTCATGTTATCATATTTGCTTAGTTCTATCCAACATTTACTCAACGTTAACCAAGTACTAGGTGAGTGAGTGAGTTTAACGCCGCTTTTAACAGTATTCCAGTTATATCACGGCGTGTCAGCTTAAAGTGGGAGGAAAGCCCGAAGTGATGCAGGTCTCAGACGTTTACAACTTCGGTGAAACCCACGAGCACGGGTATGGTGCTGACAAACCTAGAAACATAATTGGGGCGAACCGGGATTCGAACCCACAATCATAGGTTTCTGGCGTGCCCAAGGGACGCAACTCTGCACAGCGAATCGCGGCGCCTTAGACGACTGGGCCACCCGTGCCCCCAGTACTAGGTGACTCTTGCCAAGCACCAGCATACATTTCAGTGAGTGAATATGGTTTTACGTAACTTTTACGCCGCTTATAGAAATATCCCGGCAACAGCATACAAACCAAGAGTGGGGCGAATGGTATATATATACCAGGCACTAAATCACCGCCTACCTGAACACACACTGGGCACAACCATGCTGATCTTGGACGGATCCGACGAGACAACCTTTGTCATGAAGGACTCAAACCCGACCGCCTCAGGTGAGCAGGACTTGGACAACCGTGCTATGATATCAGATGAGTTGCTCAGCGGCAGGACGAACAATTCCCTCAGTGTGACACCTGCAATATTAGTTCTCAAAATATATGAAGCACAGAGGCGGTTCCTGTCTTAACCCTGAAGCAACGGCCTTTTATGTTTTGCACCTTTGCAATGAAAAATTATATGTGAAAACATGTGAAACGAAAACGTATCTAGCCATGTCGTACGTTAACAATCTCATTAAGATCTCATCAGATAATTTACTCGGACACTATACTCCTTTGCTTGAAGATCTGTGGGCATCGCCATTGAAGGTGATCTTTCTAATCAGCCGATCAGCGTCAAGGCTTCCAGGTTCTTCGTGCGAATGAGCAAAGCATTCAGACCAGATTATCTGATTTATCTTCCTCGAAAACGAAGTTAATTGACCTGTTCCGAATGTAAATGATAAAGGCCGCGCCATTATATTGCGGTTCATAGATGACACATCCTGTGTGTTCTGACCTCAATGGCATCTACACCCAAAAGAGAGTTCCATCGGGGACAAAATAATGTTCTATGTCGGTTGTCTTGCGTTAAAATCGAAGTTTCGGCGTCAAATTGTACGTAATGAACCTAACCGTTTGAGAAAGCGGACATCTCATGGTTTAAGAACCCACACATCCTTCAGTCAAAGGTCACTCAGGGTTCGCATGACGCGACCTTCTATGGAGGTGTCTCAGATCTTCACGCACAACGGTCGTATCTCACGGAAAGATCTCAATTTAAAGACATTGTGTATGTTAATGGTGTCAAGGGGACCAGTTTGACAACGCATCTTAAATCCGCATCAAAGTACCTGTTCCCTCCCCTATGACGATTGTGAGCTCGGTATCCTTTGGCACAAAACAGAGAGGGGTGTGGTTTCCATAATGCGTCACCCTGCTGCCAGCCCTGTAGATGTCCACGAAACTGGGATAGCCTTTCCACACTACCGCCATGTGGATCCACAGGTCCTGGGGAACTTTAGTATGCACTGGCACCTGGCGGCTAAGAAGGGAATGTTATGTAGGAGGGGTATTTAATACGGAATCTTTGACGGCATGCTCATTCCTTCCCGACATGAAGTGAATGAGTGATTATTTACGCCGATTCAGCATTGTTACCACGACTGATGGGGATCCTCATGAAGAGTCCTATGGGCAATGGCGGTCTATATGGAATTTAAATTTCTTAGGTTTCTTAGTTTTTGATTTATTAAAAATAATTACACGCGCATTTATTTGTTACATTGAGGGGATGAGAGATTTATCGCTAACGAGTCCATTAACACATGAGGTCGATGCTTACTTTCTCATTAAGATGTCTGTTTGATGTGAAAGGTCCAACGTCATTTGATGACCTCTTGTAGGATGGCTAAGGACAAAGGAAACGTTCGGGTTCTTCTCGCCTGGAGGCAGAGTTCGAAGCCAGAATGCCAGCGTTAAATCCTCACACCAGTCATGGATAACTGGACCCAGATGCAACTGAACTGGCCCGTTAACCATCACATCGAATGCTGAAAAGTACAAACTTTAATATCATGCATAGGAATAGGCAGAGTGACATGGAATAGGTAGAGTGACGTGTGGAATAGGCAGAGTGACGTGGAATAGCTAATGGCTAAACATATTGTGACAATTTGTGCTATTTGGCAATTAAACATTTTCTTCGTACAGTAGTAAAAGCAAGTATATCGAAATAATGCAGCATTGTCACGAAATGTGAATTGTAAATAATCGCGTCGGGGCCAAGCAGAAAATAGTTGCTGATGACATGGAGCGTAAGTGGGTCTGTGGCCATATCAAATTTTAAAACGTAATTCTCCGAAGTGATCAATGTTCCATTTATTATATAAATATGTCTCATTACTTCATTAGTAATCCCGTGAAGACTTCAGGTTAGAATTTGTCCTAGTAGCCAATAATATTCGACTAAAATGGATCACGTGATCAAGCTCTGTCAGTGTCTCATTGTACCCCAACGATGTGGGGTGTGGCTCATTATATTAACCAGCAGTGTGTCGGGTCCAAACTTGTTTATTTACTGGTCGCTATGACAGGTGGAATAATGATGTGACGTAAAAGAAGTGCACTCACTCACTAATGGGAAATATACAGAGAAAGCATAACCATACTGTAAAATCAAATTTGCGTATTTGTGATCACGATATCCGGGATAAGTCATCCGGGATAAATGCGTGAAAGCAGGCACTGCATCCGTGAGATGCGCTCGCAAAACTCAGAGAAATACTCAATGTACATAGGATCATCTTATTATGTATAATACGGCTTTAGATGCTTTGTTCATATTTCTAGAGGAGAATCTTTGCCATGGTCTTGGTGTATTTGTGTGAAATAGCATCCTTCAATCAAACGAGGATTCCCCATCGTGTTGCCTTGTCGAGAACAGTTAATCCACGATAGTACAACAGGTTTCATTTAGCATATCATAAACTGTCACTTTCGAAGACGAGTATTTGTTAAGGCGGAAATAGTTTTGTATTGAACTCACCGAGGCATTCGTCTAAACTTGAACTCCCCATAGCTGCAGTAGACGAATCCGATGGACAGGAAGTGCACTCTGTACTAAACGATTCCGTCTGGATCGTACCAAGTGGGCAGGGGGTGCAGGGTGATAGTCCTGTCGTGGAATAATGTCCTGGCTGGCACATCTCTGTTTGGAAACAAGTAGATTGTGAGAGCTGCTTCTTCAAGTTATTCTGATGTTGACAACAACATTTAAAGCATACAACATATCTCGACGTTGTAGGTACTATGTATAGTGTATTTACTATTTAGGTGACACGGTCGTCTAAGGCGCCGCAATTCGCCTTGGGCAGATCGTAGGTTCGAATCAGGTATGCCCCGATTATGTTTCTAGGTTTGTCAGCACCATACCCGTGCCTGTGGGTTCCAGCAAAGTGGTAAACGTCTGAGACCTGCATTACTTCGGGTTTCCCTCCCACATTAAGCTGACATGCCGTTATATAACTGGAATACTGTTCCAAGCGGCGTTAAACCAAACTCACTCACTGGTACAAACCTACGAAAACATAATGATTAAACTCATTTTTGAAATGTACACTTGCCATTATATTTTCAACCTGCCAGGTGCGTATGTTCTGCACCACGCTCGCCACTTACCGATGCAGTCCCGGTCAGTTTTACTTCCATTGTTCTTGGTACCGGTCATCTGACCACACGGAGTGCACTGTGTCTGACCAGTCGTGTCGGAGTAGGTGTGGACCGGACACGTCTCACAGGTGTCCACTTCCTGGTTGTGGAACGTCCCACGTGGACAAGGAACTGTAACGGTAATGGATACTTGACCACATCATTATCTGATAACAGACGTTTTGTATTCTGACATTTGAAGACAAATCCCTCAAATATGTGCACAAGGGAATGAATACTAAACATTTAGTCTCTGAAATCTTATATTACACAATATCCTTCTTGACTCTAAAAATAAAAAAATTCCCTATGCTGATTGTGGAATAGAGCTAGCTTGAGCTGGCTAGACTTGCTTTTGTATGCATTTCTAGGTTATTATTTTTTCATAAAATAAATATATTCCACGGTCATGGTGCAGGACTAGGGAATGAACCGCCGACCTTGTTGTGTTCCTCATAATAAAGAAGTTGACAGCTATTAATTTCCCTTCCTTATGTGTATCACTCCTAAATGCCTTTCAAAGACTTGATACATTTACCGTTTCGCATGAAGATGAATAATTCGAACAAACAAACAAGGAAAAAAATGAAATAAATGTCGAATCATTAGAGTAAATTTGTCCTGGAAGTACACGTTTGGGACTGGTAAATTATTTCGAGACAACCGTAACTTCGTCACGCCCGATTCGAGATTTCAGAGGTTAAATAATGATGAATAAAGAAAGAATACGCAGGGACCACGCTTTTACTTCGAGACAACCGTAAGTTCGTACACATCAAATAATTATAAAAATGTAATCAAACAAAAAAACATAGTTTATTATTAATATGGTAGATTAATAGGTAGAAGATGCTCCCTACCACAGAGTACTTCCGAGCTGTTGGCCGCGACTTTCCCTCGGCCGCAGTTGAAGGTGAGGTTACCCCGTGATCCCTCCACAAACCTTGCCTGCTTCGTGCCTTGCATCGACAACCGAAGAGAACTAAGTGCTGTGTCCACAAACTTGGTGACTTTCTCCTCAGTCACCGAACTAGAATAAAAAACGCTTATTGTAGCATGGCGTTTAATAAGTTTTGAGAGCCTGGGAGGCCCAGTCGTCTAATGCGCCGCTATTGTTCGTGCTGAGTTGCAAGAAACCTGTGTTTGTGGGTTCGAATCCCCATGTGCCCTAATTATGTTTCGTTGTTTGTCATTACCGTATCCCCACTCGTGGGTTTCACCAAACGTCTAACCTCATAACGTCGTGCTTTCCTCCCATATCAAGTTGACAAGCCGTTATATAACTGAAATACTGTTGCTTTACGCCAAAACTCACAAATTAAGATTGTACCGAAGGATTTGTCCACATACGATGCAAAATATTAGTCAATTAAAATAACAGAGTCTAATAATATCGTGTATGTATTGTCAGAAATTGGTATTTCACTACCCTAAAAGTACGGGAATCCACGAGCACAGGACTTCTGAAGTTGAAATATATATGGTTGTAATCCTTGGAATCGAGCCCTGCTCAAGGGGACCTTGTCCCTGTTCGGAAAGCGACCATTGTGCTATGTATAATGAAATGAAACCTCGCAGCGGGTATCTGCAAGATTGCTGATGCAGCGTTAAGCAACACCCACTCGCTCACTGAAACAACGAACCAACAAACTCCCTCCCTCATATAAATCAAATGGGGTGATAAAATAAGGGATTTTGACCGTTTTAGCGTGGTGCCGTCTTAGATAAATGAGCCACAGTATTCTTACCGGTTTAAAATTTAGACGAAGACGTAAACCAATTTAGACACACAGGATTACAAACCTGGAAGTATTCCTGAAGACCCAGTTGAACTTAATGTTTGTCCTATGTATTGGTTTCCTCCGCCTCCGTCTAGCGCCCGACCCTTCCCCTTCATGGTGTTCTTCTTTACCAGGAGATTCAGTGGTCCAAATGGCTGCAGGATCTACACCATCAACAACAGCTCGTCGTCGCCTGTTCATCACATTATAACTTTCGGTCTGATTGGAAGCTTCTACTGTTTCTTCAACATTGCCATCGACACCCTCGTCTTCGACGGCCTTTTCATCGTAGTTGTAGTCGTCGTAGTAGTCGTCGTCATCCAAGCCAAATCCATCGTCTATTTCCTCTACTGGGCCACATGTCACCTCCACGTCCTCTACCAGACACTTTCCGTCCTGGCAATCATGGACGGCGGAATCAATGAGGCTCTGTAGGAATGCTTCTCGTATTTCAACGTTGGTGCCGTTGTCAGAGCAGCTCCCGCCGTAGTAATACAGTTCTGATGGAAGTTTGGAGGCGTCAGGAAACTTCAGAGCTAGAGATGAAGATTAAAAAGAAATAGTAAACTGACGCTACAACTTTACAAATACCATTTATTTCCTAAAACAGATTGAGAACAATGGGGGTAGGAAACAACGCTGACCAGGCACGCTTTGAATGAGAAGTAACACGCAATATAAATTCTCAGATTATTTGTTGTTTTACGCCGCACACAGCAATATTCCAGAGATGTGTCTATATAAGCTATAAACCAGTGATTGCTCTCACAAGTAACGGCCAACACCGATAACGCGTAATGTGACCCGACCCTCTTGATCATATGGTTGTCTTATGTGACAAGCGTAGAATGCTGAGGACTTATTCTAACGTGGAATCCACACAGGGTGTGAGTTCTTAGTGACTACGTACACTGGAAGAGGACTTGTCTACTTACAGGTACAATCCGGAACTTGCGGGATAGGCTTCCAACCACCACTGGACCCACAAATAAGTGTTGTCACGTGCTTCATGTCTTTCGGCACATCGTAATCAACGTGGCACTGAATCTGGCATGTTTCACCGCCGAAAAACTTGTCACACACCAGAGCGCCGTTGATAGGTGTTTTCAGATCTGGACACGCTTTTTCTGATAAAACAAGGATGATCATTATCAAATATATATCTGGCACAAATGTACTCTTATTACTGCAGTCATACAGATTCCATGTTCAGATCGGAACCAAGATTGGAGGAATCCTTTGTTTCCTATATGAACGCATGCTCGGTTTGGAATGAAATTTAAAAGTATCAAATCTACGTTTGAAGTCAAAGGCAATCGAAAATCACATCCCATAAAATGATTCTATGCGTACTGTGACATGTAGGGTAGGAGTCCATGAAGCCCTCCCAGGAGGCTGCTGGGATGACGGCGTCGCTCCTCTCGCATCTGATGTACTTGGCGCCCACTACTCTGCTGTGACGGCAGGTGGAGCGACACGACGTCCCGACGGTCAGCTTGGTAGACGGGCAGTTGAAGACAGGGTCGTGGTCCCCGCCTCCTGCGACAGGTGCGGCGCACGATGGTTCTGAAGCGAACAAATTCAGAATGTTGAAGAAACGCCATAGGTTGAAGTGTGGTGTCCGTCTGTTAAACACAGCGGTGCAGGCTCAGATGACGACCACTACAACGGTCATTCAAATACACACAGATACATGCATTTCGAGAATGCAAAATATTAAGCTGGTTGAGATACTTATTTGAATATGTATGTGTACTGTTAGTTGAAATTTTAATGTGATGTGGTGACGTAACAAGGCAAATGGGTTGAGACTTGAGTCTGACCTTCAATATTAGTGAACTTGTGACAGAGTGGCCGAATGGATAAACCGTTTTCGTTATGCTGAATGGCATGGTTCAATTTCCAACATGGGTAAAACACGTCAAGCCTATTCTTGGTGTCTCAATTGCGATATGACCGCCTCCGTGGTATAGTGGTTGAGCGTCCGCCCAGTGAGCGGTGGGTCCGGGGTTCGATCGCCGGCCGTGTACTTGTTATTACACTGCCTGACGCTCGGCATTAAGGGGCTAAAACAAGGACTGATCGGCTCGGAGTCGCTATATGTATCTGAGTACAACTGGGGTATTCATGTTAAACTGCGGCATGGTATCTCAGTGATCTAGCACTATAAAATCGGCATCAGTCCGGACTAGTACAAGCAGCCACATACACTATGTGTCGCAATATATGTGCACTAATTTTGAGGGGGCACGTGTGGCCCAGTCGTCTAAGGCGCCACATTTCGCTGTGCAGATTTTCGTCCCTTGGGAAAACCAGAAACCCATGATTGTGGGTTCGAATCCCGGTTCGCACCGATTATGTTTTTAGGTTTGTCAGCACCATACCCGTGCTCGTGGGTTTCATCGAAGTGGAAAACGTCCGAGACCTGCCTCCCTTCGGGCTTTCCTCCCACATTAAGCTGACACGCCGTGATATAACTGGAATACTGTTAAAAGCGGCGTTAAACACCACTCACTCACTCACACAATAATTTTGAACGCGATGTTAAACCTAATTTCACCACCTCCATTGCACATGGCTTGGATGTACATAGAGGCGTCTGACTCACTATGTCCGTCTCGTAACCCCCCCTCAACCCCCCCCCCCCCCTCCCCCCCCCCCCTCCCCCCACCCGGGACACTTCCGCGCTATCGCTCTCTCATCGCTTCTCCTTCCTGGTACGGCGCACAGCGGCACGTACATCAAGTGGTGTAGGATAGAGAAACTGACGATTCTGAGAATATACAACTGAAGAGTGTTTTCCGTTTTTCTCAGTTTAAATTGTTCTGTGAATACATGAAGTGCGCGTAGACAAATGCCACTCGACAACAACAGAAAGGTTCTTGTAAGTGCTCAGTAAGGAGGCTCTGTCTATCCTTCCGCAGTATACTTTGTTTCAGCACTTGTTTCAGCTATAGATAGGCTATATGATAGATATGTCACTCCTCTGTTCGATAGGCATTCTAGATTCTAGACGTTAGTGAGTAAAGAAAACACGCTTGATAACGGTGTAAGAATTTACGTCGAACCGTCGCTAATTGAAATAAAACAGAAGTTGTTATCAATAAAGTTGATCCTAATATAAGTCACTTTGCGGATGTTTACCTAAGGGACTCAGGAAGGTTAGGTGACGCTTTATGCTCAAGAAATATTTTGTTCTGTGGGTTTCTCGAAAAAGGACAAATGAATCTTATACTCTGTGAATGAACGTTTTATCAAAATAGGAAAGTTTAAATATGGAGTGAGAGAGCAGATGGACATCCAGGATATTTAAAAGGGGTGTTATATTTGTCTAGCCATCATATTTATCAAGCTTGGTGCAACAACACCTTCCATTAAGAACCACCAGATCAGCCAGCAGCTCAAAGCTCATTGTACCACCAAAATGTTTGAAACATATCTGCTATAAATGTTTGTTTTTTCATGTAATCCTTTCTGTGCAACAATCACCATCCATGAACCTTAGTTATTGATCGCATTATAAACCGATTTATTCCTGACTGATATTAATGTTATATATTAATATCAAACATTTTCTTACCTTCAAAGGTGAGAGCGAATCTACATGGTGGAGCGACGTTTCCTGAAGGGTCAACAGCCTTGAACTCGATGATCTGAGAATCTTCTACTAACACTGACCCTGGCTTTTGACCTCTTGTCTGGGTCAAGGTGACCTTGCCCGAGTTGTCAGTGGCTCTGATTGTCGTCCAGACGTAACTCGAGTTGGACGTCTTCAGTTCGCCGTCTGGGCAGTTCAAGATTTTGGGCTTTTCCGTATCTAAAATTAATATAACAACATGTGTATATGAAGACATATAAGTTTGGAGTGAGTGTGAGTGAGTGAGTTGGGTTTAACGCCGCTTTTAACAGTATTCCAGTTATATCACGGCGTGTCAGCTTAATGTGGGAGGAAAGCCCGACGTGATGCAATCCTCAGACGTTTACAACTTTGGTGAAACCGAAGAGCACGGGTATGGTGCTGACAAACCTAGAAACATTATCAGGGCGAACCGGGATTCGAACCCACAATCATAGGTTTCTGGCATGCCCAAGGGACGCAACTCTGCACAGCGAATCGCGGCGCCTCAGACGACTGAGCCACCCGTGCCCCCTATAAGCTTGGAGGATGTTTTATATCCTCTGAAGAAAGACTAGAAATGTCTGATTGTCCCCAAGACTTTTTTCTTGTTTGAAAAATTTATATGGACCGCTGACATTTTATTGTATTTCAAAGAGCTACACTCTTCAGTCTATACATACATGTATGTCAGTAGGTATACGCTAATAACATAAATTGTTTAATTTCCCAACACTCACTATTGTGCAGACACGTATTTATGCCTGAACCTTTCTAGTCTGACAATGTGAGAGAGTGCTGCTGTACTGTAGGCATGGCCGTATTGACACGCGACGAAACCGTCATCGTTCAGAAACGCCATGGTCACAACAAAGGTTGTTAACATCTGTATCATGTGCGGATATTATTCAGCTGGCAACGCCCAGCGAATTCTTTTCACCCATTACCCGGTTACTTTAACCCAGACCTGTTCTATGTGGACACCCCAAGCCGTCATTACCACGACAACGTGTTCTATGTAAGTGGTCCACATCCCTGGCCAAAATAACCAGAGAAGATGTTCATTGAGAGTACTCCTCAGCTGCCTAAAAGCCATATTACAAAGCGTGTTTCTAATTACGTCTGTTCTATAACGTGTTGGTACATGTAGGTTGGTTTTATTCTATTTGTTTTATTTTCGATTTCCAACCAATAAAGCTTTATTCACAATTTTCCTGAAATATATCAAGAAATTATAAAGCTTCCTGTTTACAAAATCTCGAATAATTGTCATCGTCGAAAAGTGAAATTTTGTAATGGACAAATATGTAGAACCGAAATCGAATTTACATTTAAATTTTGGTAGGGATGTTGTTGGTGTTGAACAACAAGAAAATTAATTTTACTTGGCCTAACATATTTTTGTTGTTGTTTTATATCCGTGACGTACCTGGACATTCCCAGTTGTGGTAGCGCCAGACTGTGGTGCCCTGACAGGTGGCCAAGTTGAGGTATCTCGGACTGTAGCCGTTCTTGGAGTCGCAGGAAAGGGTACACCTACTCCCGTAGTAGTTCCCGTCGGTGCAGGTCTTAGAAATACTATTCGGGGGCATCTCTAGTGAACCGCAGCTCTTCTCTGGTTAAAACGACAGATGTAGGAAAGAGGAACAGACATGTTAAACAATCATATGTAGGTCGTGATCTAGATGGAGTAAACTTGACGATACCACATGCAACATATTACATAGGGGATCTTGGTGAACGGTACATTTAAAAAAACTAAAACTAAAATACCTGTCCGTATGTATTGATCACTTGCTCATCATACACATTCGTAGGCATATTTTGAAACAAAATCTTTACAGATCATATGGGGTTCAATGGTAAATAGGGCGGTGGGGTAGCCTAGTGGTTAAAACGTCCGCTTGTCAAGCAGAAGACCCTGGTTCGATTCCCCACATGGGAACAATGTGTAAAGCCCATTTCTGGTGTCCCCCGTCGGGATATTGCTGGAATATTGCTAAAAGCGGCGTAAAACCACACTCACTCACTCAATGTTAAATATTTAAAAAGGAAAGGATATTAATTACATCAAATTATCATAGATAAGAACAAGACAGTTACTTTTGCCATCGAGTTAGACTGACACCTGTCACATATTGTATTAAACATTTTGTTGGCTAGAGTTAGCTAGAATTGTGTACACACCATGACACTGAGTGCAGTGACGTCAGAAAATTGGTTGTGACTGTGAGTGAGTGAGTGTGTTTGGTTTTACGCCGCTTTTAGCAATATTCCAGAAATATCACGGCGGGGGACACCAGAAATGGGCTTCACACATTGTACCCATGTCGGGAATCGAACCCGGGTCTTCGGTGTGACGAGCGAACGCTTTAACCACTATGCTACCCGACCGCCCCGGTTGTGACTGTGAGATGCATCACATTAAATATCATGTAACAGAGTAATTGGTAAGTATAGTAATAGGTACTGAATTTGTCGTTCAGTGTTTTGAACCTCATCCTTTTGTTGTGTTTAAGTTCGAATGCCGGTTCGCACCGATTACGTTTCAAGGTTTGTCAGCACCATACCGGGCTCGTGGGTTTCACCAAAGTGGTGAGTGAGTGAGTGAGTAAGTATGGTTTTACGCCGCTTTTAGCAATATTCCAGCAATATCACGGCGGGGGACACAAGAAATGGGCTTCACACATTGTACCCATGTCGGGAATCGAACCCGGGTCTTCGGTGTGACGAGCGAACGCTTTAACCACTATGCTACTCGCCCCTCCTAATGGTGAACGTCTAAGAAATGCATCTATTCAGGCTTTCCTCCCACATTAAGCTGGCACGCCGTGATATAACTGGAATACTGTTCAAAGAGACGTTAAGTCCAATTAACTCACTCACTCACTCACTCACTCACTCACTCACTCACTAACTCATTCTTGTGTTAGATGTACGAGTATGGATACCCAAAGCTGCCGTTTAATATACCCGTCACGCAACAGCCTGGTTTGAGGATGAGCTTTGTGTTTCAATACACGGAGTGTGTTATTCATGTTAATCACGCAGAACTATCCCTTTGTGTCGTGTCTAGAAACTATTATATGCACAGTACAACGCAAAATATATCCAATGACACCTACAAAACCCCGCCAGGTCATAGGTGACATAAGCCTGAATCTTGAGGCGGCCCCCCTCGGTCTGGTGACTGTTTCCGTGTGAATCTAGACATTGTAATTCGTGCACTGCGTCTGGCTAAAGTATTGTCTCTGTGTACTGGGATCACTGAAGGGTGCGAACTTGATAAAGGTAAAAATAGCCGGAAGGCCTAAAGTAACACGTAGCCTAAATACGTCATTCTGCACAAGGAAAGAACAGCATCACAACATGTTATATTAAACATATCTCCACAAACTAACACCGTAATTGAGGAAACATATTTCACCGCTTGTGTGTTTGTTACATTAAGTCCCAGCCGTTTATGAAGTAGCGTCTCGGTGGCTATATTTAGATTTGAATTTGCAGTCAAATAAAGTGTCTGTACCTTGGCGCTTAGACTAAAATCTAGTCTCTGAAATGAACATATCGTACATAAAAAAACAGTTCTTTAGTTATCTTAATAAAAATATAATAAAAAGGAGCCCAGTGACTCTCTTCATTTTCAGATACTGATACTGCAGTGATCTAGACTTGCCAAACATTATAGACTTGCATGGGCTGTATTTGATATATAATTGTATCAGGGTCTGTAAGACAGACTACTTGGCGCTAAACGACCTCCAAACATTGATGCATAATCGCTGTAATTGTGTTCTGATGTATTTCAGAGCTCCAAAGAGTCATTATGGATTCTGTCGAAGAAAATGCCAAAAAACTGGGCCAAAAGAAGGGGAATGTCTTTCAGAGTGGATAAAGACAGTGGTGTTGTCATTGGTAGAATGCACACACTTTAAAAGAGGAAGCGGAATTAGAATAAACCCGTTCTGTGTCAGCCAGTTGTCATCCAAAGTCTAGCCTGCCCCACGTGAACAGTTTGTAGATGTTCCCACTGACAAGGCCCCAAATAACATAACCATTACACGGTAGCATCACTTCATTAATTGTTTGATCACAGAACATGGTATAAATGACATATCAATTACTGCCACATATAAGGTCAGTGTGTTAACTGAGGAAGGAATCTGCCCAAACCCCACATCAGTACTATCAACGTTTGATTTGACTCTAAAACGAAGACATGTCGATTTCTCTTTTGTACTCGATTCCAAAGCTCCATAAAAATCTGTACAAAGAGGGATATATTGCTGGGTTCAGCAAATCCATGTCTCAGAAGACTAACCATAATCCTTAAAACAATCAATGAAGCACTTTTTTTATATTTACAGAAAATATTTGAGACAATTTGAATTTAAACCATGTGAATTCTCAAAAAAAGAAAGGATTTGATTGACAATTTTGCAATTTCAGAGTGAGTGAGTGAGTGAGTGAGTGAGTGAGTGAGTGAGTGAGTGAGTGAGTATGGTTTAACGTCGCTTTTACCACTATTCCAGCAATATCACGGCGGGGGACACCTGAAATGGGCTTCACACATTGTACCCATGTCGGGAACCCGGGTCTTCTGCGTGACGAGCAAACGCTTTAATCAATAGGCTACCCGAACTCCCCTGCAATTTCAGAAAAGAACCACGTTCCATTCTGTCAAAACATGTTCTTTTTCCTCCCCAAATCAGTGACAAAAATTATGTCCAATGCAATTCCCTATTTTGACTTGTACCATATGTTCCCGTGTTTTTTCTGGTGAACAATTGACTTGCCTTTGCATGTGTTTGTGACTGGTGCCACCTTTTCGCGAGCACCTGGTATCATCACTATTTGACAGTGATTTATAAACACATGCTCATGACATAGTCGGAATCGTACTATCGACTCTGCTTTATGCAGATATTTCTATTGAATATTTCACCGAAGTGGTAAACGTCTGCGACCTGCATTAATTCGGACTTTCCTCACACATTAAGCTGACACGCCGCGATATAACTGGAATACTGTTAAAAGTGGCGTTAAACACAACTCACTCGAAAACTGGGTCAGGTCATATGATGCGAAGGAGTCAGGTAGCAATAATTCCTGGAAACCATTTACTATATGTAGGATAAAGCACATTCTTTTCATTGTTGTTGGTTGGTTTCATGGTTCACTCTGTTGAATATGGAAAGGGTTTTGTCTCTTTATTAAAAGAGTTATCTGCACCAGACGTAACACCTCACCAAAACTGTCGCGACGGACAATTTCATCAGTATAAGAATGTTGTATGTAAGCATCTTCCCGAGGCAAGAGAGTTAACTGACTTTAAAAGTCCAGTTTCCACCCTTGCCGAACTGGGCTGGGCTCGATCGTAGCGCCACCACTGGCTATTACGAGTAATGTCCTTTCTATGCCTCTCGTATTGACCAATCAGATTCAACCTCTCGTATCACTAGCAGTTGCTTCAAACGAAACGTCGGCGCCCAGTCAAGACGATCTGATCGATAGTCAAGATCTATATTGTTATCAAACGAGTCATCGCGAAGTGCATCAAATCACGTGAGCGTCTTGATTAAAAACATATTAACATGATTAAAAGATATAGAAAATAATTGTTGACAACGAGTTAATGGTGCACATGCTTTGCAAATCCTGCAGTCGACCGAACTATGCATGACACTTAGCGAACCGGATTTCGATTTCGGTGCGCGATTTTGATTGGACTATGCACAGGCTTGTCAGTCCAGCCAAAATGTAACTCCATAATACCAGCCTAGTTCGGCAAGGGTGGAAACAGGACTTTTACAGTCAGTTAACTCACTTGCCTCGGGAAGATGGTATGTAAGAGGAAACATCACTTACTTTTACATGTCGGGGTTGCGTGTTGGTTGTTACCGCTTGACTGGCAACTTGATGAGCCCATCCCGTCCAGATAATACCCGAAGTCGCACGAGAACCTGCACATTGTGCCATAGATGTTGTCCAAACGATCGCAGTTCATCTGACCATTTCTTGGACGAGAGTGAGCCCAGCATCTGATAACTGAAATGGAGAACCCCATTGGATCAGATTCAACTGATAACAACTACAGAGAATCCCCATTGGATTAGGTGCAACTGATAACGATTACAGAGAATCCCCATTGGATTAGGTGCAACTGATAACGATTACAGGGAATCCCCTTTGGATTAGGTGCAACTGATAACGATTATAGAGACTCCCCATTGGATTAGGTGCAACTGTAAACGGTTATAGAGAATCCCCATTGGATTAGGTGCAACTGATAACGATTACAGAGAATCCCCATTGAATTAGGTGCAACTGATAACGATTACAGTGATCCCCTTTGGAATAGGTGCAACTGAAAACGGTTATAGAGAATCCCCATTGGATTAGGTGCAACTGATAACGGTTATAAAGAATCCCCATTGGATTAGGTGCAACTGATAACGGTTATAGAGACTCCCCATTGGATTAGGTGCAACTGAAAACGGTTACAGACAATCCCCATTGGATTAGGTGCAACTGAAAACGGCTATAGAGAATCCCAATTAGATAAGTGCAACTGAAAACGGCTATAGAGAATCCCAATTAGATTAGGTGCAACAGATAACGGTAATAGAGAATCCCAATTAGATTAGGTGCAACAGATAACGGTTATAGAGAATCCCAATTAGATTAGGTGCAACAGATAACGGTAATAGAGAATCTTCATTGGATTAGGTGCAACTGATAACGATTATAGAGAATCCCAATTAGATTAGGTGCAACAGATAACGGTTATAGAGAATCCCCATTGGATTAGGTGCAACTGATACGGTTATAGAGAATCCCAATTAGATTAGGTGCTACAGATAACGGTTATAGAGAATCCCAATTTGGGGTGATGAGTGATAATAGTTATAGAGATTCCCCTTTGGGGAAAATGCAAGTGATAACAGTTAGTGAGAATGCTTATTGGAAGAGGTGATAGCGGTTGTAGAGAAATCCATTTGCAGGAGATGTAACTGATAGCTGTAATAGAGAATCCCCATTGGAGGAGATGCAACTGATAACGGTTGTAGGGAATGCCCACTGGAGGAAACGCAAATAATACAAAAGAACCCATTGGAGATGTAATATTGATTACTTTTGGCGAGAATCCCTTTTGGATAAGATTAACTGATAATGGGTAAAGAGATTTCCCATTGAAGGGATATAACGGTTATACAGAATCCCCACTGGAGGATATATAATGGTTATAGCGGTTGGTGGCGCATTGATCTGACCGTTTAGTGTCATCTAGTAGTAATAAAGCAGTCATATTTCAACCTGAAGACCCCTTTCACGATTGGCCCTCGAAATTTGTGTTGCTGTCTACACAGAGTTTTCCCTCCTTACCAATTTTCCGCCACTAACATTACATTGATAGAAATCCTATATCATTCACATCGCTAGGAAATAGTAGCAAGTCCAACCTTTGACCGTGAAGGTACGGGAGCAAACCCCAGAAAGTCCACCTCTGTCGACCACCTGGTAGACCACGGTATGTCTACCTTCAGGAAACATGGATCCTGGGGCCCTCCCACTCTTCTGACTGATCCTACAAAATAAATTATTTTATATTAGTGAAATTAAGAAGATACTTTCTCCAAAATGATATATTGACATCTATAGGTTTCATGGTACGTCTTAAAAAAATACAGCCTTGGTGTATACCGGAGTGAACAAAAATAAAAAACATATATTGATATACACATTTCTTGTTAGTTGCTTTTATAGTCACAGTCAAACATGGGTGTACTTTTTTCCCCGGCACTTTAGTTTCTGCGACATGTTTCGGTTGCTTGATCGTCATGACACGTATTGTTAACACAAAGAAAGATCAAGAATGACGGATAGGGGAAGCATAGGCTCTACGCGACTGAAAGTTTACTTTAAATAATTTAAATAATTAATACCTATATAATTAAATTACAATTCAGGAGAAGGCGGTAATAGGTGTTGCACTTGTGCCCTTTGTCTTTTTGGACAATAAAATATGATAAAGAATAATAATAAGTAAATTTAGGGAATCGCCTCTTACTTTGCACACGAGCCTGTACCGACGTGAGGAATCAAACCCATCGTGTTTTCGGTATGACACATTAACCACATGGTTATTGTATTGTTTCTTAACATGTTCCAACATTAGGATTAGAACATCTCCACACACGTCAAGCAGAGAACGTACCTCCATCCGCCGTGATCGTCGCTTACTGATGGATTTCCCCATGACACTAATGCCGACGTCTTGGACGCCGGTGTCGTGACGTCTCTGATGGAGGGGCAAGAGATACTCGGTGAGCGGTTCACTGTTCAAAATAAACATCAAATTTCACTTATAGCTAAACTCTGACGATGACCTTCCAAGTAAACACACTGCGGTCTAAAAACAGAGCGGGGGGGGGGGGGGGGGGGGGGGGAGATGGTACGGGTTATGTTATGAGATCGCCCCAATTATTTTTCTAGGTTTGTCAGCACCATACCCGTGCTCGTAGGTTTCACCGAAGTGGTAAACGCCTAAGACCTGCTTCCCTTCGGGCTTTCCTCCCACATTAAGCTGACACGCCGTGATATAATATAACTGGAATACTGTTAAAAGCGGCGTTAAACACAACTCACTCACTCACTTAAAACTGAGGTTCCTGATTGGTGTCACTCTGTTCATAGTATACGCCCAGAAACCGTGTCAGATTTTTAATTTCTCCAAATGAAGAAATGTTTGCAAAACCAGATATCCAAATAAAATGGAAATCCGTTAGTTCGGCACACCATTTGCAGTTCACACCTTGTTCCGGGCGCTTACAATTAAAATTGTCCCCATGTATGCGATGGGACATTACTTCGTAGCCGGAAAAGCAATGTCATTCAAATCAGCTATGTTACTACGATACGATACTATAGGAGGTCATGTGAACTAATCGTTGCTTTATCATAGGTTCAAGCTAGCGAAGCATTCAGAGCAGCGAGTCTGATTTCTCGAAAATGGACAGTTCCGAATAGAAATAATAAAAACTGCTTTTGTATTGCTGTGAACATTTCAATACTGTTGTGTTGGAGCGCCATGGCATCTGAAGCTAAAAGGAAATAGAAGGGAATATTTGTGTTCTCTGTCGTTTTTCTCTTGTTGGGATAGACGTTTTCTAATTGAGGTGGTAACGAAACGAAAACGAATCGCTTTAGAAAGCTGACATATGATTGGCTCAAGAACCAACTCATTTTGTTGGCATCAAATTACATGTAAACGTCCAGCGTGAACGTTCAGAATCTCAGTACTGGATATAACAATGTACAAATAATGTTGTGACACCGTTGTGACGTCGTGGTAGATCAATACGAGCTTTAGAAATATTCACATTACCTGGCGGACGTGGTTTTCGACGTTTTCTGCAACAGCCGTCTACGACAGTGACCACTACAGCAAGGGTGACCAGCAGAACATGATAATCTGACCACCACATTGTCTAATCTGGAACAGAAATATGTATGAGTATGTAAGCTGAGTATATAAGCTGAGTATATAAGCAGTGAAGCCAGGTAAATACTGCTTAAACTCGCTGTCAGCATTGTTTCATTGTCCCGACGCCGTGCATATAATCTATTATGGATTTGACAGACCAGGGAATGAAAACATTAATCAACGCCATTGGAAAATGATGTTAAATATCTACTGAGTTACTCAATACATTACTACGTAATATACCTGTAAACAGAATACTGATATGTTCAGCATACTGCGTTCATAATTCAACATACACACTGTAAATAATTCAACGCAATACACTCTATATATTAATATACTGAACAACAAAAGTTCCTGTGACATTGAATAAGATTCAATGCAAAGTTATGTTTTTTACCAAATCTGAAATAATTTCGGTTTGCAACAGATAAAAGACTCCTGTAAGTGTTCAAATGGTTTAATTTGCCATACTGACTTCAGAAAATGCGTGCTTTCATAAAAAAAACCATGAACATGCCAAAATGTCAGTTTACAAATCATTAGCGTGTGTGACCACCTCTGGTTGCGATGCAAGCAACACGTCTTCGTCTCATGGAATGGATCAGGCGTCGCACGAAGTCCTGTGGGATATCTGTCCATATCTGCTGGAGCATTTTTCGAAGTTCCTGGAGTGTCTGTGGAACACGTGGTTGACGTCGAAGGCGCCTATCCATCTCATCCCACATGTGCTCGATTGGTGAGAGATCAGGGGAGCGAGCCGGCCAGGGGATGACATTCACGTTGTTTTGTTGAAGAGATCCTGAACAAGTCGAGCAATATGAGGCCGGGCGTTGTCATGTTGAATGGTATTAAATGGCCATGACGACGCAAAACATTTAGAACAACAGTGCCGATGATCTCGTCGCGTAAGCGCTGTCCATTGAGATTTCCCTCTACCACTATCAAACGGGTCCTCTGTCTTGCTGTTATCACACCCGATACCATAACGCTGCCGTCCCCGAACCGATCTTCTTCCATGACACAATGATTGACGTAACGTTCACCTCGACGTCGGTACACTCGAATCCGTCCAGCGCTGTGGTTGAGGTGAAAACGAGACTTGTCAGTGAATAGAACTTGTCCCCACTGCATGGCCGTCCAGCGTAGACGCTGTCTGTACCACTGTAGACGTGCTTGGCGATGGTTTCCTGACAAAATGGAACGACGGCGGGTCTTCTGGCGACAATCCCTGCATCTGAGGCGACGACGTACGGTTTGTGAAGATATTCGTCGAAGGCCAGGGATGCTTCTTGCAGTCACTGTTGCTGGCTGGAATCGATTTCGTAGGTGTGTTGTTCGAATCCAGTTGTCTTGTCGATTATTAGTTACGCGTGGCCTGCCACTCAGAGAATGGTCTCTGACTGCATTCGTCTGTTGCCAACGTTGCCATAAACACCAAATGGTGTTTCTGTGGACGTTAAATTGTCTTGCAACATCACGTTGACTCGATCCTGCTTCAAACATACCAATTGCTCGCAGGCGCTCATTTTCGGACAGGCGTGGCATTTCGAAATGTTGAATAATTGCGTAATTTTGTTGTTTTTCTGAGTGGTTGCTGTCAGCACGATGCTAAACAATGCATATGGAATCCCGTTAACGCACATGTTTTTATACCCATTCTTGGGTAGTGAAATGCATGGGGCTTGCATAAAAGTCAACTTTTGCATGGAATGCATGCTTTTCTGTAGCAGTTGCGTTTTTGTGATTGTTTCCATACATGCACTACAATATTGAAAACCAATCTTTACTTCTTTGAAAAATACACCATTTGTGTCACAGGGACTTTTGTTGTTGAGTATATATCATCATAATATGCACGGCAGACACGTATCCTGTCAAAAACGCAGTCATTACAGAAAACTCAATTTACGACTACTACTACCACTACTACTAGTACTACTAGTACTACTACTACTACTAGTACTACTAGTACTACTACTAGTACTACTACTACCACCATCACTGCTGCTACTACTGCTGCTGCTACTACTACTACTACAACTACCATTACTACTGCTACTTCTACTACTACTGCTACTACTACCATTACTGCTACTACAACAACTAATAATAATAATGCTACTACTGCTACAACTACTACTGCTACTACTGCTGTTACTACTATTACTACTACTACTACTATTACTGCTGCTACTACAATTACTAATAATGATGCTGCTACAGCTAATACTACCATTACGACTGCGACTACTACTACTGTCCCTACTACTACTATTGCCGCTGCGACTACTACTGCAACTACTACTACTGCTGCTACTTCTACTACTGCTGCTGCTACTACTACTCGTAGTACTACTGCCACAACAACTACTACTTCTACAACTACGACTACTACTACACTGACGACAGTTTCTGTGTGAGATTTAGGCTACTTTGGATGTTCTTTGAATAAGAATAATGTGGTTGGAAAGCCCGAATGTGAAAACCACCAGCACGGAATCTTAATCTGAAATATTCACCGATACAAAGTTCTTTTAGTGTACAATAGACCACGATTATTCTGAACGCGTACTGTTGTAAACACGGGGCTCCGCCCTGCTTCCTTCCCGTGGTACGTTACTCATCGGTCTGATAGCGGTATCTGTCCCTCGTTTGTGTCCTTACCCCGAAAAACAGTTAAACGTTAAGCTTATATATTAGTTTTAGTATTATTAGGTTTAGGAGTAGTCGTAGTAGTTGTTGTAATAGTTGTAGTCGTAGAAGTAGTTGAGGTAGTAGTAGTAGTGGTAGTAGTAGTAGTAGTAGTGGTAGTAGTGGTAGTAGTAGTAGTGGTAGTAGTGGTAGTGGTAGTAGTAGTAGTGGTAGTAGTAGTGGTAGTAGTAGTAGTAGTAGTAGTAGTAGTAGTGTAGTAGTGGTAATATTAGTACTAATATAAGTAGTAGTAATAGAATACCCCGTTCACACGCACCTCTATACATATGGGGGTATTTTTGCACACGTGTGTAGAAATACATACGTGAGTATACTCGTCATGTGCACGCGTTTACTCACGTATGTATATTAGCACCAGGAGCACGTTTACATCATGTCTGGAGCAGGTGCAAATGTAACTGTAAAATGTAAATTTGCACTGTATGTATATGTTGTGATGTGAATGTTTATGCCAACGTCAGAGGATGATCTAATTACTATATATCTGTTGTTTTGCCAACACCAAATAAAGTGTAAACAATTCTCAATTCTGAAAATGACACTATTTAGACTACAGCAATGCCAACTTTTATGATGACATCCAGAGCTGGATGGACGGTGTTTTCGTTGGGTCTCAAGGAGTTAAACATGGTGTACATATCAAATCAAACACATGTTTCTTCATGTGGAGATTTCTGTGAGGTAACTATATTCGAAAACAACCTTTTCATGTTGAAAGTCGTGAACAGACTGATGAATATATGTGCCTTACACCAATTACATACCTTATTTACACACCTAAGTGAACGCATAGTAAATATATATTTATACATGTATGTACATGTTGTTCATGTGAACGGGATGTAAGTAGCAGTGGCAGTAATAGTTGTAGTAGTAGAGACAGTAGTCGTAGCAGCAGCAGCAGCAGCAGTAGTAGTAGTAGTAGTAGTAGTAGAGACTGTAGTCGTAGCAGTAGTAGTAGTAGTAGTAGCAGCAGCAGCAGTAGTAGTAGTAGTAGTAGAGACTGTAGTCGTAGCAGTAGTAGTAGTAGTAGTAGCAGCAGCAGCAGTAGTAGTAGTAGTAGTAGTAGAGACTGTAGTCGTAGCAGTAGTAGAAGTAGCAGTAGTAGCAGCAGCAGCAGTAGTAGTAGTAGTAGTAGTAGCAGCAGTAGTAGAAGTAGTAGTAGTAGTAGTAGTAGTAGTAGTAGTAGTAGTAGTAGTAGTAGAAGTAGAAGAAGAAGAATGTGTTTAACGCCGCACCTAGCATAATTCAGCTATATGACGGCGGTCTGGACCAGTCAAACCTGAACTTGACATCAGGCGCATCGATGTACACAACTGGGATACGATGACATGCAACAACAAAGTCACCGAGCCTGACCATCCGATCCCGTTAGTCGTTACGACAAGCATGGATTGCTGAAGACCTATTCTAACCCGGAATCTTCACGGTTAGAAGAAGTACTAATAGTAGTTGTAGAAATAGTGGAAGCAGTAGCAGTAGCAGTAGTTGTTGTAGTAGTTGTAGTAGAAATAGTTGTTGTAGTAGTAGTAGCAGCATTATCAGTAGTAGTAGAAGTAGAAATAGTTGGAGTAGTAGTAATAAAAGTAGTAGTAGTAGTAGTAGAAATAGTTGTAGTAGCAGTAGTAGTAGTAGAAATAGTTGAAGTAGTAGTAGTAGAAATAGTTGTTGTAGTAGTAGTAGCATTATCAGTAGTAGTAGTAGAAATAGTTGTAATAGTAGTAGTAGTAGAAAAAGTTGTAGTAGCAGTAGTAGTAGTAGTAGCAGTAGTAGTAGAAATAGTTGTAGTAGTAGTTGTAGCAGCATTATCAGTAGCAGTAGTAGTAGAACTAGTAGTAGTAGTAGTAGTAGTAGTAGTAGTAGTAGTAGTAGTAGTAGTGGTGTGTTTAACGCCGCACTCAGCAATATTCCCGGTATATGACGGCGGTCTGTAAATAATCAAATCTGACCAATCAATCCAGTGATTGATATCATGAGCATCGATCCATGCAATTGGGGTACGATGACATGTTTCAACCAAGTCAGCGAGTCTGACCACCCGATCCCATTGGTCGCCTCATACGACAAGCAAAGTCACGGGTCATAAGTAGTACTAGTAGTAGTAGTAGAAGTAGTAGTAGTTGTAGTAGTAGCTTAAATAGTGTTACCATAATTTTTATTATCCTTAATGTGAAGTCTAGTAGTACATATACCCATAAATCAATCAGTGAACACAGTCAGACCTACCAACATATAAACAAGCCTGTATCTAGCACATCGCCACTCAGCCGAGGAGCAGAGCATACCCGATATATGACCCAGATATTTCAACTCAATAGATACCGGTGTTTGAAGTCTATTTCAGACACGATAAACACCAAACAAAGAGGGTAACCCGATATATGTAGGTTATGTACCTATAGGTTTAGCACGACATACAAAGTTATACACGGCATGTATAACTACTAAACATTCGCATTTATATACATGCACACGGAGACATGCCTAATATGGTAGATCTCACCTATATCGATACCATCAGATGACCGGTCCTCCCATCCGACTGACAGCTCAACTGAATTTACAATTCGACATACACTGCCAGATGTGCCTCTTCAAACCCGGAAAATCCCGTGTGACGTTACAGTTCAACTGCGTAGCAACAGACAGTTAGTTCCGGATCCCTGACTGCGTAATACAACGGTCACATCAGGTCAAACGGGTTTATTTTTATGCACATAGAAGACAAACGTCAGCGGAGCATATACAATAGGACACGCGAACAAATGCCATCCAAACGGGTTATGAGACAATAACACCAAGAATATTTTTTGGTGACAAAAAGTTAAATTAACATAACCGTGTTGTAAATTTCGTTTACATCTTAGTATTATACTAAGGGGAGTGGTATAGGCTGCAGTGATTACATTTTAATCTTTATATTCGAGATGGGGTGGCTACCAGCCCATATACAACTTAATATATGAAGTACACTCAATGATCAATGTAACAGTGCATTTTCTTTTCAAATATAGCCTAGTCAATATATAAACTAATACTATGGACAATACGTTCTTGCTTACTTTAATATATTATACCTATTTTATTTATAGCATCGTCATATACTTTAAGGTAAATATTTCTCTCTCAACTCAAAATATATTTTATAGACAAATATGAAAGGATACTCATCCTCTATGTTATAGAGAGATATTATTGCGTTTCATTGCATTAAGAACGCTGGTAATGAACTCTAAGGGAGCTGGAGTGGTTTCTTCAAGAGCAGCAATCCGCTGTGCAGTGTTGCTTTCCTATGGTGTTCAAGAATTCGATGATAATATGCCCGGATAGCCGATGCGCTACAATTATGATTCTTGGTTTGTCAGCACTATACCCGTGCTCGTTGGTTTTACTATAGCGAGCGTCGTTGGCTCACATGAAACTGAGACGCCGAGATAAACCGAAAGTGCTCAAGCGGACATTAAACATTTTAGTTGAACACCACTTTCAGGTTTCGATACAACATCTTGCTCCACCCCAACCGGCCGCACGGCCACCGTGGTGTTGTGTTACTCTGTCTAGCTCTCGGTGATATGGGAATAATACAAGGACTGGTCCGCCTGGAGTCAGTATACAGTGTCTGAGTTGGGTATTCATGTTAAGTGCGGCATGGTATGTCAGTGGGCTGGTACTATAAAATCGGCAATGTTTCGGGAATCAGAAAATCAGAATGATACGTTTTTTGCTTCTGCCGCCCATGGTGAAGATTGCTTTGACAATAAAAACCAGGCCAAGATTTGTTGTCACTTACCGATACAAATCAAACTTTATAATAACCCATGCCTGTAAAATACACTTTTTAGTCTACTCTCAATATCCGTAAAGAATAAGAAACGTCTGGCTTTAGTGGAATATACAAATAATTTATTTTATATGTCGTAATTAGTTGTTTGCTCGAAGACGCGATTATAACGTTTACACGCCAATTGACCAAAATAGGCATAAAACATTCAGCCTGAGGCTACCATGTGTATAGGGAGTCATGGATGAGGAACTAATATCAGATTCTAAACACCGGACTTCGCACTTATAAACCTTACGTCATGTCTCAAAAGTAGACACTTGGGGAAACCCAACGACGCAACGGCGAAGGACATTTCTTGACATTATCCACCTTTTTCCAAGTAATTGAGGCGGATTCCAAACCGCGGAACCCCGTCAATCTTCTCGTGCCGGAAATAGGAGCTTTGACTCAATTCGTTGTTAAAAGGTCAGGATTAAATTAAGGAAAATAATAAATAAGAACATAATCGTAAACACCTGACGCAGCTGCAGTATGTGAGTGAGTGAGTGAGTGAGTGAGTGAGTCAATGAGTGAGTGAGTGAGATTTTACGCCGTTTTTAGCAATATCCCAGCAATATCACGGCGGATATTGCCAGACATTGCTTCACACATTGTACCCATGTCGGTAATCGAATCCGGCTTGACGAGCGAACGCTTTAACCACTAGGCTACCCGACCACCCCCTATGCACAGAGACAATTGACTAACCATGTTGTCTACTAAAGGAGGGTCGTATATCCTTAACGTAATGGAATATGTACTGAGGGGCAAAAGGCCGTAAACTGAGTTTTTTAATTAATTGAAAATTGAATGAAGTTGTTAAATTTTATTATGTTTGTTTGTCATCCAAAACTGGCTCCCACAGGAGATATCGCTTGGATGAGATCAAGCGATATCTACACTGTAGATATCGCTGCAATGAAATTACATCACAATGGTTTGCAGACCATTGGTTTGCAGACCATTGTGACGTCACTGGTTACCATGACGTCACAATCAAATGACATCACTAATGGCTCTGCTACTGAAGATGTTTTCAGTACTTTTTACACAGAAGACACTGCTAATTACTGTCTACAAATTGAAAAAGTTGAAAGAATGATGTTGGATGATAAATTAAATCTTACCCTCGTGTCTTTTGATATCAAATATATCAACACTCCTTGATAAAAGTGGCAAAAATCCTCGGCAAGCCTCGGAATTTTCCCACTTTTATCAACCCGTGTTGATATATTTCATTGATATCAAAAGACACTTGGGTGAGATTCTCTATTTATCCATCACTCAGTCCTGCAACAGTTTCTGAAAAGTAATCTGTTCAAAGAAGACAGGGTACGAAATGAATTTGCAACCACATGCACGCAACCATTTTTGAAATGGGAAATTTATTGATTCTTTAAAGATAATATGTCTTAGATCTTCATCAGCATATATCTTGCGATTTAAAAACAATATTTAGGAGTTGTAAATATAATTGTAAAATATCATGAAATATAAAATGTTAATACCAAGTGGAGGATGTGTTGGCAAAAAACACCTTATGCGAGAACATTCATTTCTGTAAAACGTAACACCAAAACATATCCGATGCGTGTGTAGGTGGTCATTCCTGATTTTGACACTTTCAAAGAAGGTCGGCTAATCTCTGTGGACTATTGTTTCTGTCAATCTAACTGCTTCTACTTCACACGCGGTTCTGACTTACTTAATCTCAGTCAATGTTTGTGCGTGAGCCAGCGATTCGGCTCAGACAATGCGCGGAGATTCTACGTGCAATTAGCAGGCTGGAAACTGTTAGGAGAACTGGCCAATATGTTCAGTGTTACCATGCTCGACGGCCACGTCTTGTGCCCCCCCCCCCCCCCCCAACCAACCCCACCCCACCCCACCCTCCGACACACACACTGACAAATCGTCATATATGGCCAACAGACGTCAATGGTGTACACAACGTCGAAACTCGGGTAATCGTCACTGATCACGTGTTATCCTTGATAGGCGATGTCGTGTCTGACTTGACTTACGTGCGTTCGTAAGTACATAAAAGATTATGTGATTAGCATCGACAAAACATTGAGGATAGGTATCCGGTAAAATGCACGTGAGCCCAATACTAATACTTCTAATCCTGTAACGATACAGTACATATATGTATCGTGATGCCTGTTTTTCTACGATATGTATCGCGATTCACTTTGAAATAAAATTGAAACTTTGAAACAATTTGTATCCTCCCATAGAGTGTATCGCATGGTTGAATTTAATATGGCGATAATATGGCACTTGGGTGAGTAGTTGGTATCCTATTCATATGAGACACTGTAGAAAAGCAAACATGTACAGTACTTTATTTATGAGAAATAGATGCACACAAAGACATATCATGTTATAAATATATACAAATTCTTTATTAGCACTGGTAGAAGCCCTGATTAATTAATTGAAATGAATGTCTCTAAATAGTCTTTGTGTACTCCAACCCTGCATAGAAGTCTGCAGCACCCAGGAACTGGAGTGGAGTCTTGAGTCCCTGACGAAGCTTTGTTTGTCGTTTAACGCCGCACTCAGCAACATTCCAGCTATATGACGGCGGTCTGTAAATAATCGAGCCTGGACCAGACAATCCAGTGATTGATATTATGAGCATCGATCCACGCGATTGGGATCGAGGGAAATGCATCAACCACGTAAGCGAGCCTGATCACCCGATCCCGTTAGTCGCCTCTTACGACAAGCATAGTCACCTTTTACGGGAAGCATGGGTTGTTGAAGACCTATTCTATCCCGGATCTTCACGGGTCTGATCTTTCAGTCTCTCCAGACGTTTTTCAGACTTTCTGTAGACTTTCTTGCGGTTGGGGGGAACTGCTCCTTGGTATTATCTTGTTTATTTCAATCAATTCAAAAAGTTCATTTCATGCCCATTTATACACTTCACACGATTATTGATCGAAATGTCGATTAGGAGACATGTGACAGAAGTTCAGACCTGAGATATCTAACACAATGATGCTACAAGTGATTGAAGAAGCAGTGCTTGCGCTGTGCCTCTGACGGAGCTGACGAGGATTTTGGAATACACACTTACTAATTGACTGGTATGGAATACTCCAAGCGAGAACGCGAGATTTTGGCCATGTCTTGGACATTATTATTATTATCACCATTATTATTTTAATTTATTATTATTATTATTATTATTAGTAGTAGTAGTAGTATGATGATGATGATGATGATAATGATGAAGAAGAAGAAGAAGATGATGATGATGATGATAATGATGATGATGATGATGATGATAGTAGTTTTGTAGGTCAAGCACATAAATGAATCATGACTTGTAAATCAAAATCCACACTGAAACATATTTAACGCAGCTTTTATGAATACTATTTCATATCTGAACCACTTCAGCGTCATTCATTTGAAGTGCACTTGACCCGTCTGTCTGGCAGGGAGACACACGACACACACTCTGTCAAATAACGCCCCAGTGACACAGAAGCAGAGCATTGTGTTTCATAACAAAGACTGACATATCAGAATATTTGACACGCCGTTACATTGGATCTCGGAGGCGGCACACAGGATGGATGATATGCACGACCATATATTGAAATGATAATAATTGGGTATGTGGAAATTACAACCCGAGGTTTTACGAGCGCTGAAGACGGCCCCGATTTCGCAGTCGGGACCTGGCAATAGTGAGCCAGTATGGTTTTACGCCGCTTCATGCAATATTCCACTAGGATCACGGCGGGGGACACAAGAAATGGGCTTCACACATTGTTCTCATATGGGGAATCGAACCCGAGCCTTTGACGTGAC